GTGGGGGGTTTTCATCACCCCTCAACTGTGACCATGCCAATTTGCGAGCCTGCAGCAGAGACAGGGAAGTGGGGATTTGGGTTTTGAGCCAGGCTTGGGATTAAGGGAGTCGCTGTTGCAGGTTGCGGGAAATTAGAGGCCGAAGACGGCAACGCGCAATTGATGCAGGAAATCTCAGCACGCACCAATTAGGAAAGGGGAGTAGGGAAGAAGTAAAGAGGTAGGAAAATTCGAGGCATTGAACGCCCAAATTGTACAACAAGCGGCGATGTTGGAGTTATGTACAAAGGAGATGTCCAACCACTTGGGGACAGAAGCACATTTCTTCAGAGCAGTGAGATGCAAGGGGTACATGGAGATCGTAGGATTTGATAGGGAAGGAGGAACAGATCACCATGTACCAACCTTTCCTCGGCTCGCTACCAGACTATTTTCCCGGGAAAGAGATGCGTACTGGATAGAGGTTGAAATGGCGGGGTAGAAGAAGAAGGGGTGGGCTATGTTCTACGATCCAATGTACGCAGCACTCATCCCAGCTACCGACCTGTGACCGTGGGGCTGGAGGTTCGCCTCCGCGACACCTTCGGGTGTCATATAGCCTGTAGAAGAAGAAGAAGAAAGCAACAACATCACCAACACACCACCCATCACACCTCGAACACTCAACACAGCAAGACGATGAGCACTCACCACCAGAGCAGACAGAACAGCCAGAGCCCACAGCAGAGCAATGCACAGCCACAGAGGAACACGAAGCACAGGATGAAACAGCCCTAATGCAACATCCAACACACGGCACCGGGCGAGACCAACAAAGACACCACCAACATAAGCAAACAGGAAGCGCCACCACGGCGGCATCCGAACCGAAGGAGCAAAAGATCACAAAGTTCGCTAAGCCTGCAGCAGCCAAGACAAAGCCACAAGCTCCTGCCAACATATGTCAACAACCACCACCAACACAAGCGAGCAGCAGCAGTCACCAAGAACCACAACCACTACCACCGCCACTACAACACAGCACCCACTTTACTACAATCCTCAGTCAAGAACAACCCTTCACTGCCCTCCAGCATGGCCTTCCAGTACTCAGGGACCTCCTCAGCTATCAGGTCCAAGCCCAGGCAAGCCACCCCCCACCATCACCACAAGCCATGGCACCTCCACCACTACCACCACCAACACGGGAGGAACTACAACTCTCCCTGCAAATAGCACAAGCGTTAACCACACATATCAGACAACTCACTACAAGAATCCTATCCACACATCACAACCATCCACACCACCAACCAAGCAACCAACCACACCACAACGACGTCATCACCATTGACTCCCAAGAATCCTATCCAGAGGAGCCAGCAGCAGCAGACACCACAGCACAGCCACAGCAAGAGGAACCCCCAGCACCACAACCATGGCAACACCAAACATCGCTGCAACATGAGCATCCACACCAAGCAACAACTTCCGCTCCAGCAAATGCCACCCCAACCCAACCATGGTGGATACTAGGCAACCATGTGCCTGCAGCACTCAGTCAAACAGCACAGGTGGCCACACCACAAGCAGAGGGGGTGCAAAATTCGATGCTCACAGAAGATGCAGCCAATCACAATATCCCAGCACAGCAAGCACCCCCCGAGACAACAGCACAAGCACGCATGCAGCCATGGTGGGTTTTGGGTCACACAGCAACAAACCACACCCACACCAACAGAAGCAGATCACCTCCACTTGCGTACGACATTTTCACAGCCCTCTCCCACACGAGCAGCCGCGGATGACGCAACGCGATCCAGACACACAAGATGGCGGCCAGCAGAACGACGGCGAGCTCAATCAGAAGACCTAGCCGGCGGCAACCAACCACTGAGAAGCTACCACGTCCTCTACTGACGAGTTTCACCGAGGCAGCAAACTGAACAGTGAGCACAGCCAACCTCACTCAGTTCTTTAAATACAGTACAAAATGCGGTAGTAGCTGTGGAATAGTACCTAAAGGAAATTAAGAGGTGAGAAGTGAGGCCCAGTAGCTGAGCATAGTACAGACCACAAGGAGCCTACCACCATAAAGACAACTGTTACTGGGCCCCCATTTCATAAGAAGGCAACCACGCGTGGTCAGCAAGCGAAAGGCTGAGATTCACCAACACACCGGTCAATGCTGTGTTTGTTGAGTTCAATGCTGTGTTTGTTAAGTAGTTAGGTTGGAGAGCTTTGTACTTGTTTCCCGCAAAGGTGTTGGTGTAACAAGTCAGGCAAGTCACCTGCCATCTCAGCCACCCAGTCTCACCAAGGCAAGTACCTCCTCACCACGTGTGAACTAGTGTACAAGCCACATTTTCTTTTGTCAGAGCAGACCCAGGGGGAGCAAGCTTCGACAGGCAGTGACATCGACTGCCAGCATTGTGAGGAAGCTGCAAGTTACAGATCTAGTTTTCGTACTGGGTTGAAACTAGGCATTTGGCCCCCACGGCAGCCTCACAAAATGAGGGGTAGCTAAACCTAGTAGGCCCAACACGGGCTGGGCATGAAGCCCGGAAGGGAGCTTCAGCTCCTTTCCATAGCCCGCACGAAAGAAAGAAAGAAAGAAAGAGAAAGAGAGGGTGAAATGAAACAGGAGGCTTGTGATCATTAAGGCGCTTTGGTACCAGTAGCACGACCTGTGCTGTGACGGGCAGCTGAAAGGTACAGGAACAATTTTACTCCCTGGCATCTGACCATCATGACTGCTGAACGTGGCTTTTTTGTGGTAGTGAGTGCCTAGTGCTTTCCTCCTACTTGGATGTGGGGGCGGTAGGCCGCGGAATGCCGGAATAGAAATCATAAAGGTCAGGCCGCGAAGCAGAGGCGCGCAAATCCCAAGTCAACACGCCAAGGAAGGCAAGACTCGACTGGAAAAAGACACACCTCTTTTAAAAAACATGTGTTCAGCAGAGGATTTTGCGGGGGGGGGGGGGCAAGCCTGAATGGTTTTTGGTTAACCTGTTGTACCTACTGTTGCCCCGGGACGCATGACTTCTACAGCCAGCTTCAGTCGCGAGGCGTTGGCGAGAGCATGATGGGGATTGCTACCATGGTTAGGGGGAGTATGCTGGGGGTTATTACGCTGTTGCTGGCATTGTTATCTTGTCTGAAGCCTCCCTGTATGCTGCAAATGGTTTGACTGCCCGGCAAGCAGGGCAATGGCGAATCATGACAAGTACAGAGGGAGGCTGGCCAGTAGAGCAGTGCACCCGCAGTCATGATGGCAAGCAGTAGGATATCCCCTGGGCGGACGAACTCAGTGTGGGTGAATGTTGCATGACGCGCTGTGCTGACACATGCATAGTGGGTTGTGATGACAGCTAGGGGAATCTATTGCGTGCTTGCGGTAGCACAATTGCCTAGGGAAGCGATGAAGTCTATACCCAAGGCATATGAGTGTAGAGTGTAAACATTGTACGATATGGACGAATGCAATTAGTGTGTGAGCGTGTGTCGCAGAGTCAAATGCATCGGCATGCTCATTGATCGGACCCTCGGCAGTAGAGAGACGTTGCGGACGGTACCTGCATGCGGCGTTGCCCTGGCCCTCCTCCTCTTTGGGGGGGTAGAGCAGTGAGAAGCAGAAGACGAAGAAGAGGAAGCGTCAGCGAAGAAGAAGAGTCCGTGTCAGCATACTCCAAGCCTAAGTGCCCCTTCTGCTCTCCCTTGAGGCTGAGGACGGGAGGGCTGTGTTTGACGGCGCGCTTCCGACGCTCCTGCAGAAATCAGCACGCTCAGATTTTCACTTTGTCGCAGCTTCAGTCTAACTCTGTGGCCATGAGCAAGCGGTGCAAGCTGGTCCCTGTTCCGAGGAAATCCCAGCTGACAGGGCCGGCACAGCAGCAATTTGACTGAATGCCTAGCTTGGCTTGCTGTCCTCCTCTGCTCTAACTCCCAACCCCTGACCACTCCAAGAGCTAATCGGGCATTTGAGATTCCTTCGTAGCCCCTCCATATTTGGTCAAGCTAGGCAGAGAAGTGCACAAGGAATCGGCCGCTTCGGGATACAGGTCCAAAGCAATGTCTCGGACCTAGGAAATTCAGCAGTCTTGCCACTAACTCAGCAGCACAAAGACGCAGAACAAGTCTTGATCGCGGAATGTCTTCACTATTGGGAAGGCCAATAGGTTCGAAGAATGGTGATGTCTTTCAGGGATTCCGCTGGCTCTGCGTATTCGAGCCCCAGTTTGCTCCTCACTGAAAGTGGAGGGCTGCAAGCTGGTGGGGCAAGTCATGTTGCAGAGATCAAGAGACATGCCCGGATCCAGGCTTTGCATTGTGCTTCTGGTTTGAGTCGCTGAGCTACGCGTGCGGGGGATGTCTCAGGCACAAGGTGAATTGGTGGGCATGTGTGTATGTGCCAGGCTTGATGGCTTCCTGCCAGTTAGAGATGCGTGTCTCATGTGGGAAGCTTATTGGCGGATCAAGGGGGGGGGTAGAGTAATTAGGAGAGGAGGCGTCCCAATGCAACCATGACGTCGCCTACAAGTCTTTACGCAATTGGAGATCCCTCAGAATCTTTCTGGGAATTGCACAGGAAGCTTGGTTGCAGACTCTTCCTGTGCTGCGCTTGATGGTCATCACTTGATTCCTTGAAACTATCGGTGGCCAAGCTTTGATGCATCGTCACGGGCGGGCAAACGCATACTAGCTATGGTAAGTCAAGCGCCCCAGCCTCCTGTCCTAAGGAAGCTTGGAGAACGCTATGAGGCAGATATTCAGAGGCTGAGCATTTCCGGGGGCTTGCTGAATCGAAGCTTGGTTCTCACAAGGTTGTGCATTTGAGATGTCAGAGGGGTTCCCATGCATTATTCAAGGACATCGCGCTGCAGCAAGCAAGGGCCCGAAAGGGAAAGCCAGGAGCCTGGCACAAGTCAGTCAGCTCAGCTTAGACAAGCTTCCGAAACTCGCCAGACTTAGTATGGATGAGCCGGACAGCCCCGTGGCTGACTCTAGCTCCGGTTTGGGCACTACGAGTTTCAGTGTTCTTCCACTACATCCACCTCGCCAACAGTCTGGTGAAATTGCCCTTCCACCAGATCTACCTTCGGCCCTCCCAAAATCCCCGCAGGCCGCCCCGTACAATGATGGCATGTCACAGGAATGCCTGTACACTGCCCACGCCTGTTGGCTCCAGAAGTCCAAGTCAGGCACCCTGTCGCGGCGCAGGAGCGCTCTGCAAGTACCAAAGTCAGCGACAACCCCAACGCTGGGATCGATCCAGAAGCTGGGGTGTGTTGGGACATTCTTTTGAGATTTTTGATGTCACAGGAAAACTGTTATTCTTGCAGAAGTGGGTCGTAGCCAGCAGTCCAAAACAGCGAAGGAAGCCTTCCTACACTATCGACCCCACAGGTCAATTTCGCAACTTCTGGGATTGCCTGGGCATCGTTCTCCTCATTAAAGACTCCATCGCCATACCACTCCAGTTCATTTTGGATGATTTTTACGTGAGATTTCCAATACTTTTCTTCATCACTCAAATGGCAGTGTTTTACTGGTGTGCCGACATTCTCTTGAGCTTTGTGACAGGGTACCTTCACAAGGGGAACCTCGTGCAAGATGTCAGGAAAGTCTGGTGTCACTATCTTAAAACATGGTTTTTGCCTGATGTAGTTGTCACTTTCGTAGACATCCTTCTGGAGTTCACCCCAGCTGGCGATGCCGTTGGTGAGACAGGTGCGTCAACAAAGATTCTGAGGCTCCCTGGTTGCAATTTGCAATGACGTCATGCCGTGAGCTTGAACCACGGCCAACAAGGTCAGTAGCCATTGACGATTGCGCAGTCGCGCGAGGGTTGATTTTTTCACATGCAGCAACAGCTGCGTGCAGGGAGGGAAAGGCACAAATCCCATGTGTTTGACGTAGGTCGCGGCTAAAGGCGAAGTGGGATGAGCAAGGTGTTTGTCAGCCTAAGCCAGGTGCCGCTGGCAATGGTTCACTCTGTGTTTGATTTATCTTTTAGGCGCGGGTCTGGCTGAGGAAGAAAGGAAGAGAGACGCAGGAAGCAAAACAAGGAAATCAGAAGGGGAAGATTAAAGAAGCAATCTTACTTGGGTGCTGACTTGGTTAGTCTTAGTTGTGTGACCATTTCGGAGGGCCTTGCCATGACGAGGATTGTGCTTCTTGTTCCTCTACTGTTATTACGATTCAAAGTGCGTGGATGCTTCCCATACCTATCCTTCAAAGCGTTGGCAGGCTTGGAGCTGTAGCCTGCTTTGTTTTGACTTTCCTTCATGAAACGCCCAACAAGCTTCCAAATCCTGGAAGTCGGATTTGCATCCTGCATACATTCCTTTTCCCCTGGTGGCAATAGTCCTTACAACACTTTGAACCTACCCACGAGCCTTTAAAAGCGCTCACAGATCTCCATGAATCCCCAATCCCTCTTAATCCTTGCGTTGTCGCAACTCCCAGCGGTCACACATCCTCATAAAACCTCCACAGGTTGTGAGTCTGGATGTGCAATCTTCCTCCGAATGAATCCGTACCATCTCATACAAGTCCCCATCAGCCCGTACAAGCCTTTGTGGATCCTTATCAGTCTAGAAACGTTGTAGATCTTTGGACTTGACTTGTATTTCTGTCCCAGCAAGAAAATCCTTGTGATCGCGTGCCAATCCTTACTTGCATGTTAGAGTCCCTTTCCATTGCGCCCTGTGAAGTCCTCCGCGCAGCTCCTTACCAAGGAGGCGCGAGCGCAACAACCGAGCAACGACCCGTTCCACCCTTTTTCCAATCCCATGATTCAAAACCTGTTTCAGCGACATGTGCACAAACCTGAGGCTCATGAGGCTTTTCCGCGTCGTGCGCCTGGGCAAGCTCACTCGCGTTGCAGCATACCTTCGGGATCAGTTTGAATCGCCTATGGCATCAATCCAGTTTAGTCTGGGTTTGGTTATGTTTGGTATGATGTTGGTGGAGCACGTCATCGCCTGCTGCTGGCTTGGTGTGGGTACTCTGGATGCAAGGGCAAACACGTGGCTGAAGCTTTCTGGCTCGGCGGACAGCCCATTCATGGTCCAATACACCAGCGCGCTTCGATGGGCCTTCATGCAGCTTGGGGTTGGGGGCACAGAGATCGAGGCCACCAACGAGAACGAAGGCTACTACACGGTCTTCGTCTGCTTTATTAGCCTCATAATGTTCTCTACGGTGATCAGTTCCATGACCTCGCTAGTCACTGCCTTGCAGAGCAGGAGGATGGAGGAGTCCCAACAGTTCGGGCTCTTGAGACGCTTCCTGCGACAGCAGAAGGTCCCCGATGCCCTCGGCCATCGCATCACGCGCTTCCTGCAGTTCGCCTACCACGAGATTGAGACACATGAGCAAGATCTACACATCCTCAAGTTGCTGTCTAAGTCGCTGTCTGCCGAGTTGCAGTTCGCCCGATATCAGCAGTGCCTGGAGCGGCTGCCATTCTTGAAAGACTTGCTACACGGCAGTGGGGTAAGTGCCCAGGAGGGCCAAGTCATCCAGCGCTTGGCCACGCAGAGCGTGGTGGTTTTGGATGCCGGCGAAGATGAAACTGTTTTCTGTTGTGATGCGAGGGCTGAGGCATGCTACTTTGTTATGCAAGGTTCAGTTTCGTATGAAACGCACGAGGGCCTCATGGAGCCTCATGCGCACCAGTGGATCTCCGAAATGTGTCTCTGGACGGACTGGAGCCATGTAGGTGACTTGACTTCCACGAGCTTCAGCAGAATTCTGGCCATTCAATTCGAGGGGTTTTGCACCTGTGTTGCCAGCTTGGGCGCCGCACAGAATGAAGCCCACAAATATGCTTCTGGCTACCTCGAGGAAATGAACAAGGCCACTGACCTTACAGACCTATGGCTCTTCCAAAACCCGTCAGGTACGCATGAGCCTGCAGGCATCACAGGAAGTCAGATGCTGCATCAGCTCCTATACGGGCTGTGGATGAATCGGACAGTGTCCAGGATTGCCACTTCGAAGGCAACACAAGTAGCACCGTCCCAATGATACACATTGAGCACCAGATGGGCCTTGTAGTGCCCGGACCATGTTATGAATGTCACTTAATGCGAGTTGCTACTACATGTTGCTGGCTGCTTGCGGACAGGAAGAACCGACACTGCTGTTTGTCTTGAACAGCTGCATTCGTGCACAAGATTGGTTGTAAGGCCGAGGCTCTTCCTGGCAGCACCCCGGCACGCTGCTGGTTTGGCTGTGCTTGTACAGCAGCTTCCCCGGCAGCAGCCAGCACTAGCACTTTATAGTCACCAGGACCGGGCCATTCCAGTCCGCTCCCAAGTTTTTTAGGCATGCTCATGGCTTGCACTGTCAGAAGACGCGGCTCGCCAAAGCTTGCATTTCATGGAGGTTTTGGCTGCTTCTCCCTAAACAGGTCGCAGCCCCCAGATTTCCGGCCTTAATTGCCTATGTCCACAGCCCCAAGAAGGGCAATGACAGGACTTCTATTCCCATTGTCAGCACGGACTGCACTGCGCAAAAAGCTGTGTAGCCATGTAGGAGCACATCACAAAATCGTGAGTTTACAGGACAATCATACCGTGCAGTCCGCTTGAAATGGTGTAGTGAACCGATCGCGGTGAATGGTTGTCGCTCAAGAGGTTGGCAGTCGGGGATGCGGAACCTACCGTATACGCCTGAGAGTGCCTGGAGCTGTTAAAAGGGAGCGGCGCACCAACAGAAGTAGAATTTCGGCAGAACCCTTTGTCGCCCACTATCGAAGCTTGCAACCAGCTGGGGACTCCAGCGCCCTGAGGTATACAAATTCGCGCTTTGCAACTCTGTTTTCCATTTTGCAATCGCGTGTAGCGATGTGCATGTTCTGAACGCTGAGCGATTCAAATTTTGCAGCCTAGTTACAGTGACAGCTCAAAGCCCGAGAACAGGTGCTGGGGCTGGGAACCTGAGGTCCCTCTTGCTTACCTTGCTGAGCGTTAGCAGGAAGTAAGGGAGTGCATCGTATTCAGAAGATGGTCCAGGTATTCCAATCGGCAATCACCAGGGCCACCTTGTCATTGGTGCAAGCGAGTAAAGTCTGAAGCGTGAGCAGAGGCGACTGACCTTGGGTTGTTTTGTTTTGAATTTAGGCTCTGATGCCTCCGCACAGGATTGGTGGAGCCACTGCAAGTGGCGGCAAGCAAAGGTTCGGGACCCCCGAAGGCAAATGAGCAGAATGATTGGGAGCCGCTGAACCGTCATCAATCTAGATAGTGACTTGAAAGTGTGCTTCTTCAAGCTTGACAGTGGTCGCAGCCTTTGGGCTGTGGGCTGCATTTTGGTGGGTGAAGAAGGGACTCTAACTGCTTCCAGAGCACCGAGGAGCTCATAAATGCCCATCTTCTACTGAAGTTGAGTCGAGTCATGGTCCCAAGAACTCATTGCCATGGCCAACCGCTTGGCTCTGATCCTGGCAAACGGCGCGTACCAGCTGGGCTCCAAGTCACCTGGAAATTCTTGCGTTGTCCTGACATTGCTGAGGGCCGGACTTGGTAAAGCTATAACCGCACGTCTGTGCTGTCGGTACGTGTGCAAACCCGCGTGCACAGCATTGATGTAGCCGCAATCGTCCTCGCGAGCTGCAAGGCGGAGGCCGAAGCTTTCGAGGCCTGCGGCTGCGGCTGCCGAGCTGTCCCAGAAGCTCGAAACCATGGGCTTCCAGGACCGGAATGGGAAATCCTAGAACAGCTCACTCTGAAGTTGAATCCCCGTTGCTGTCATCTTTTGTGTGGGACGCGCCCCTTACACCAAGAACCCAGCTGCGTGTGTTGATTTCATGTAGTGCAGAAGCGCGCGTACAGGTGTTGGGCTTTGTGATTTGTGGCACGTATCAGACTACTCTGCAGGGCTCTCTTTTGAAAAAGGTCGCGCACAAATGCTATTACTTGCACTGCAATGCCGTTGCCTGCAGCTGCTTTGCCTTCCCTCTCCTCCCTTTCTGTTGCTTGCTACTGCTGCTACTATGATACCGTGTCATCGTCGTGGTGGTGGTGGTGGTGGTGGTGGTGGTGGTGGTGGTGGTGGTGGTGCTGGCGCTGGCGCTGGCGCTGGCGCTGGCGCTGGCGCTGGCGCTGGCGCTGGCGCTGGCGGTGGTGGTGGTGGTGGCGGTGGTGGTGGTGGTGGTGGCGGTGGTGGTGGTGGTGGCGGTGGTTGTGGGGGCGGTGGTGGCGGCGGCGGCGCCCATTTGTCTGTTGCCAGGAGGTGCGTCCGTCCGCTAGGGAAATTTGACGATTTTCAAGATTATACGTCCTGCATCGCCGCACTTGCGCCGATGTTGGGGTTTGTTACCACATTGGGTCTTGGGCCGTCATTTTCCCTGCTTTCGTGGCATCTTGCAGGGTTCCAGCTTGGTTCGGTGGAGGGCAGATGCCACGTCATCAAGACTCAGTGCTTATGGTGTGGAAGCTGGGTGCAAAGGTGTTGCAGGGCTTGACCAGAGCACCCATGCCCAAAGCATAATTCCGTTCGTGTTTCAAGAGCGTACGGTGACCAGAGCATCCCTGCCCAAACCATAATTCCGCTCGTGTTCCCATAGCATACGGTGAACAGAGCATCCATGCCCAAACCATAACTCCGTTCGTTCGTTAATGAGTGCGATGACTAGAGCAGCCCTGCCCAAACCAAAATTCCGTTCATTTTTTAATGAGTGCGATGACCAGAGCATCCATGCCCAAACCAGAATTCCGTTCATTTTTTAGCGAGTTCGATGACTAGAGCATCCTTCACCCTAGAGAAAAGCTGGGGAAGGGAATCCTTAAAATAGGGCTGGGGGTCCAGGGTTGAAGATTTAGGGGTTTGGCTTGAAGGTTTTATTTTAGGCAGAAGGGCTGAAGCACTACGGTTTTTGGTTTCAGGGTTGAGGTTGAGGTTTTAAGGTTTAAGGTTTAGGGTTTTCTTTATTTACTGGTGCGTGAGAGATTGTGAGTGAAGGAATGGATTCCAAGAATAATCCGTAAATCATCTTCACTATACTCGTTAGAATGGTGCTCATATTCATTCCTCCCCCGCTCCCTCTTAAGCACCAGCACCCGTAAATGATGTTCAAAGTGGGACTACTCCACACATGTATAGGTGTATATATCTATATATATATACACTTATGCACATGTCCGGATGTTTACCATTTCTTGTGGCACAGTGCTTTGGGCTAGAACTTGGCGGTTTGCAGTTGTCAGCAGAGTTGGGTAAACCTTTTGACGGCCATATATGCAGGCTTACGGAGAATATTAGAGGAGGATGCTAGTCAGGGATCCTCTTCTCCAACCGTAAGCGCAATTTTCATGAAACCTGCACTGCTACGGCCCGAAAATCATCCAAAACAAAATAGTTCCGGCGGATATTTTTAGGCCCTTACAAGTACGAGTGCCATGCCTGCCAGTGTTTTTGAAGCCCCTCATACGCGATAACCCGCGGCAAAATAAAGCGCCGTGACCTAGTAGGCCTGGTGGCAGTTAGTAGTAGTAGTAGTAGTAGTAGTAGTAGTAGTAGTCGTGGTGGTGGTAGTAGTAGTAGTAGTAGTAATAGTCGTAGTAGTCGTAGTAGTAGTAGAAGAAGAAGTAGTAGTAGCAGTAGCAGTAGCAGTAGCAGTACTAGTAGTAGTAGTAGTAGTAGTAGTAGTAATGGTGGTGGTAGTAGTAGTAGTAGTAATAGTAGTAGTAGTAGTAGTAGGAGGTAGTCAGTTGTTGATCGTTGATCATTGATATTTGGGAGCAGCAGTAGTAGTAGTAGTAGTAAGTAAGAATAATAGTAGTAATAGTATTATCCTAGTAGCGGCAGTTGTGGTAGTCATAGCTGTAGTTGTGTTTAAAGTGGTAGTTGCCGTGCTAGTCCATGGAATGTTAGCTCACACATATCTACTTGTCGAGATGCTGGCTCAATTTGCTTTTCGAGATAGTGGGCATGGACACACTGCCAGGTGCAGTGCGCGATTGACCAGACGTTGGCCGGGATGAAGGCGGAGGGCATTTTCTCGTGCTTGTTGTGCCTGGGACATGTCATGCTTGAGTCCCAGCCTCCTGGAACCGAGCTTGCATTGGAGATGTAATGAAGGGGCCCTGTTTCAACGTCTGTTGAAGAGTCATTTCCGGGAAGAGTAAGTTCATCGTCATAAAAGCCATTGCATAATTTGCACCAAGACCTCACAACCCACTTCATCCTGATACTGACTGCTTGCTGTAGCAACCACCTTCAAGCCAGCAATTCAAGTTCACATGCTTTGAATGCGAGATAGCGCTAGTCGCAGCACCTAGAAGTGCCAATGGAAGGTTCAGTGCCACAATGTCAATAGAGCATTGTGGCTGTTTGATGTTTCAGTTGTGCCGCCAGTCGGCCCTTTCGTGCCTCAAAAAAGCTTAGCACCCGGAGTGGAGTGTCACGTTAAAAGAGCGGTTCGCCATATGCCATAAGCCCACTCAGCCAGAGTGCTCCCCAATAGAGGGAGCAAGCTGGTTTCCCTCATCAATGTGCAAGCAGAGAGCCGCTTTGTACTGGCCGCTCAAAACACATGTTGCTGTATCCATCAATGCCTGTGCACACATTCTGCTATCACTCGTCAGAGGAGGCGGTGGAGAGCTACCTCTGCCTTGTCGCCTCCGCGGTGGAGAGGCGTGCTGAACCTGGCGATGCTGGGTGCCGTGATGTCATTAGCGATTGGGATTGTTGGGGTGAGGGCAGGGTTGAGGGTGTAGGGATTAGGTTCCTGACAACTTTTCGTACCTGGCTGGCAGTTCTTGGGGGTCAGAACAGAAGCCCCGCAGTCGATTCATGTTTCATCGTTGTTCCTAGCGCTTCTGGAAAACTACCATGCTGATGGCGGACGACCACTTATCCAACATTTGAGCATGGCAAGCGACAAAGGACATTGACAACGGCCATCAATCGCGGCAATCATATCCGCTCATGGTAGCCGACTGCACATGCAACCAGTACTGACAGTGGTTGGATGCTCATTCATTTGTAGCGGCGTCATGACTGGCATCGTAAAAAGCGGGGTTTGCCAAACAGCCCGCTTATGGAGCTCTTGTGACTCGAGGATTAGACCTGTTGCTGGTGTCAGCCGAGATCCTCAGTGGACCACCCGCTGCTTCTGTTCTGTACCTTCTGCGGCCACGGCTCTGCTGGTCGCTTCCTGCCAGTGGACTGCTCGAGCACTGCTCTGCCCGAGGACCTCGCAGGGCCCTGAGAGTCTCGGGGGAAGCATTTAAGATGTACAACCTTACGAGTAGGAAAAGCTCATTTGGTGTGCAAGTGCTGTGAGGAGACCTTCTGCTTCTTTGAAGACTTGCTTTTCAAACTGCTCCAAGCCTTGGGGTCAGACTCCTTCGTTTCGAAGGGACGACAGCACTGGCAAACGCGTGATAACTTCTTAAGACGCTTGGATCTAGCTGCTCACGATGATGCAACACCTGTTTCTCGGCACAAATTGGAGTTTCGATGCTTCTGCAGACGTTCAATCCGCAACTTACATGAATATGCAGTTGAGCGTCTGCAATGCTTACACAAGACAAGGCTGGGTGGGCATATCCTGGGGGCGCACAAATTCTGTTTGTGATAGAGAGCTGCCGCCGCCTAATTGGTGAAGAGCTGGCAGCATACCAAGCAGCCCGAGCTCGTGCTGCGTATGGCAAGCGGCACATGCTTCCTTGCATGCAGTCATTAAGGCACGCGTTTCGCTCGGTGCTGCATTTAAGCGACCTGGTAGTTGGACACATCGAAGTAGCGCCCCCATGCGGGTTTTTCTGCAGGCCCAGATGAATTAGTGCCCAGCGCGACCACAAACCAACAGAAGGCCCACTCGCCCTCATTTCCGTACAGGTTCGGATAGTTGAGCACTTGATCTATTAGGAGTCACCTACTGGGGTTTCAACCGTGTGCCCAAATGTGACAAGGCCTGGGGCGCACACCTATTACACACCTCATTGCATGAAGTGCTATCACCAGGCAGGTTTTGCTCAACCCCAACCCAAGTCTTTTACGCTTGGCTTGAGCATGCTTATTGCCTCAGAGCGAGAGCTTCCCGACACGGAGACTTGCAATTCTCCAAGCCGTCCACTAACATTACTACTGGTTACATACTCACTACATGCCTTCACCTATGCTTTTCCTCAGGCCCGCATGCTAGACGAAACACGGAATCTTGGTGGTGGTCTGTCACTATAAGAAAGTGCATCTTTGCAAGGGCCACGTTTCTTAGAAGTCTTGTTCTCTCCGCCATCACAAAGTGTGGCTTTCTACAGGGGGCCCTAAGGATCTGTCATATTCAAGGCTTTGTAACAGGGTTCCGGGCACGAAACGCGATAAGATGGCTTTTTGGCATTGATGTCAGGCCAGAGCTGGCGACCATCGGAGGGGCTGACTGGGATGCTGCGCGCATGGCTTTCGTTGCCCAGCACCTGGGTGTCTAGGTTTTCTTTACGATCACTTTTGCTGATCAAGCGCAAGGCTTTTCCCGAACTGTGTAACTATCGTTTGCTTCTGGGAACTTGGACTCAGGAGGGGGAGCAGGGGCACCGCAGCTGCTCATTGCGCTCTCGTCAGAGTCTACTACGCCTTCTTACGATGTTGCTGCTCGGAGCAGGGCGTGGGGCTAGAGGGGATGAGGGTAGACAGCATCAGCTCGACGCTCATGTCACTTAAAATTGTTGCATGCCATCCGAATGCCCTTCTTAGAAAGCGATGTCGTTTTGCTGTACTTGGGCTTGGGGTCTCAGCCGTTGGCGCAGAGTCTACAGGTTGGTGGAAGCACTTGGGACTAGACAGTCAGGTCCTGACATCACGTCCACGTGGCACTCTCCTTTCAAAAGGCTCAAGGATGATTAGGTTCTGACAAGGCCATGCAAAAGCAAACAACTGTTGGCTCACTCAGAGCCATGGAGAGTGTACCACTCTCAAGCATTCCGCTTTCAGGACAACTTCCATGGAGGGCACCCGAGCAGGATTCCTTTTGGGAACTTCACCGTAGACTGGGCAAGTGTTATGAGGCGGCTGTGGGAAACAGACGTGTGGCCTCCAGTGAAGCGATGCCCAGCAGAAAAGCTTGGCCTTACAGTCGAAGTAGCGACTCCATGAACTTTTTTGCAGTGGAGCAAGCACCAAGTGGACCTCTCTGCTCTCCAGTCAGGATGAGATCGGCGCCAGATGAGTTGCCCCCATTGGGTGGACTAAGTCCAAAAGCCCTACACTATGGAAGTGGCGAGTTGTCCCCGGTGGTTCCCGCGCCCGCAGTTCCTGCGCCTCGACGCGTACAAGCACAGACTCCGCCAAACTGCATCGAGCCTCCTGTTAATGAAGCTTCCGAAACCCTCAGCGAAAGCAGCCAAGAGCCGACCCAGACCTTCCAGGGGTACTATCCTCGCACCTGCTGGATTGAGAGATCGAGATCACATTTGCCACGGCGGAGAAGTATGTCTGCAGAGGTCACGAAGTCGGTGCAGGTTGTGCCAGACAGGCCCGCCCCTTATGTCTTTAGCCCTACAGGCCATTTCCGCAACGCTTGGGACTTTTTTGGCATCATCTTCCTCATGAAGGATGCTGTGGTAATTCCACTCCAGCTTGCCCAGGTGAATCTCTATGCCATGTTCCCAGCCCTTCTTATTATCTCGCAGGTGGCGCTGCTTTACTGGTGTGCCGATATACCCATCTCGTTCCTGACTGGATTCCTCCGCAAGGGCAGCCTTGTCCAAGACTACAAGCAGATTGCACGTCACTACCTTCTAACGTGGTTCACCCCAGATGTCGCGGTGACAGTCACCGATTTGTTCATATTGTTTTCAGACGACACTCTGACGGATGGTCCCTCAACCACACGCATCTTGCGATTCCTGCGACTCTTCCGCTTGATCCGCCTGGGAAAGCTGACGCGTGTCTCTGCCTTCTTGCGTGACTACTTCGAGTCGCAGGTGGCATCGATCCAGTTCAGCTTGCTGCTGGTTATGCTTGGCAACGCGTCCTGAGCTAGAGCTTGCACTTGGCTAATTATGCGGTCTTTGTTGTCGAACCTCCTGACTTGAAGAGTCTTGTCTGTGCTGCCTTGGCACAGAACTTCGATCACTCATGTTCCACCTCCTGTTGTGATCAGGGTTTATATAAGTGGTTTACATCTCCTGTTTCGCAAGCTCAGGGGGTGCTGGCTTGGGCAGCCAGGCTAACGGTACTGGCTTCCATACCAGAACATCATTTGAGCAGAGATCAAAACCCTCCTCATTTAGAAATGACAGGTGGCAGGGGTTTTCAGAAACAAGGTTTGGTGTAAGCAAAGTGTTAGGTTTCGTAAGGTATCGTAAGCAATTCTGTGGCAATGTTGTTGCCGCAAGAATCGTAAGCTGCTGTTTTTGTTGGTGTTGTTGTTCATGTCATTTATGCCCCAAGCAAACCAGCCCTTGCAGTTGCAGCAGCTGCAGCAAGCCGGCGTAAGCAGAATCAACAGCAAAATCCTTTCGTAAGCAAAAAGCTTGGAAAGCCCAAGCTGCCTTGGGCATCTTTGTTTCCGAATTGAAATGGGAGTAGGATTTCGGCACCGCTCTTTTGGGAATGCTAATCAAATAAGTACAGCGCGTTGCTGGGCCAATTCCATTGTCATCAATATGGGGCGCCCCGAAAAAGCTGTGGAAATAGTTGTCCTTTTCAAGATTCAGTTGAGCTCCTGAAACGATGAAACAGCACAGCACCTAGTAGCAGCCCCAAAGAAAGACACACGCAGTAATGTCCCCCCTATTCTTTTCAAACGCAACGCATTGGCCCTGCTTGAGACCTTCCCTCCCCTAATGATGAAAACCTTCTGTCCTTGCAGTTGCAGACTAGCAGGGCACTGCAGGGAGAACCCGAAGGCGCAGCATGATCATCCTACTTCTGAGCAAGGAAGGACACCGCTTTTCCTGCATCTCTTTGCACGCTCAGAAACCTAGATGGACCTCTAAGCCTTTTCTCGTATAGCAGCCGTCACCCCTCATATCCCTGAGAAAGAATTGAAAAGAATCCTGCTGACCTCTGCACGTACAGAAAATGACAGCAATATTCCCAGGTCCGCTTGTCAGTGGCTCTCTTCTTGCTCAGCTGCCTCTGGTCCCTCCCATCCAGAATAGGCCAACCAAGTCCGCCCCACCCCGCAAAGGGCGGCCCAATAAAATGAAGGCTGCCAATGTGTCTCTGCTGTAGCTGTGAAAAAAATCATTTGGCCCTCACTCGATAAACCGTTGTGGCCCTTTCACCCGCCTTCCTCCAGCTGCAGTAATCACTTCGCTCAATTGAGTTTGTGAACATTGGTAAACAAGATGACAATGGCCGAGCCTGTTTCTTTTCCGCTTTGCCCTCTGCGTGGTTTAGGTGTCCCTGTGGTGTTATCATGCAATTCATATTCCCCCTGGTGTGATGCACGCGCAATTTCTCATGCGCCCTCATTAGGCATGATGATGGTGGAGCACGTCATTGCTTGTTGCTGGTATGGCCTTGGCTCTTCTGATCCTGATGCAACCACATGGCTCACTGCATCATCCCTGAAAGATGAAACGTTCTTCAAGCAGTACACCGCCAGTCTTCGTTGGTCTTTCGCCCAGCTTGGAATTGGCGGCACTCAGCTGGAAGCCGTCACAGAGACAGAGGGAGTGTACACCATCCTGGTGGGTGTAATTTCTTTAATCAGTTCTTCGACTGTCATCAGTTCTATGACATCTCTGGTCAGCGCTCTGCATAGAAAGAGAATGGAGGAGACACATCAGTTTGGACTCCTGCGCCGCTTTCTTCGGCAGAACAACATACCACCCAGCCTGAGCCAGCGAATCACGCGATTTCTCTCTTACACTTATTATGAAGTGCAGTCCCAGTCCCATGAGCAGCCGCATATCCTGAGTCTGCTCTCTAAGTCACTGCAGGCCGAGCTGCAATTCGAGAGGTACCAGTTCTGCATGGCCCAGCAGCATTTCCTGAGCCAAATCCTGGGAGGGCCCTTAAGTTTCCAAGAAGGTCATGTCCTCCAGAAAGTTGCCATGCAAGGCGTGGCCATATTGGATGCCGGCGAAGACGATCTTGTTTATTGCTTCGGCGCGGATGCCGATGCCTGCTACTTCAGTTTGTTTGGGTCTCTACGCTATCTCCAAAAGGAGAAGGCTCCTGCGGATATCCCTGCCGGAGTTTGGATCTCAGAAATGTGCCTGTGGACCTCATGGACTCACACGGGAGACGTGATTTGCACGAGTATGAGCAGAATAGCCGCGCTGCATGTGGATGCCTTCTGTGAGGGTATCAGCAGCGTGGCGGATCTTCAGAGGCATGCCCACTATTATGCCACGGAGTACTTGGAAGAACTCAACCGGCAGAAAGATGTTACCGACCTGTGGCAATATCAGGCTGGCTTTCACTTCCGATTACCCTCCCAGCTTGTTTGGGGCCCTCCTTTTTGTTTGTTTGACTGTCGCGAAAACTTATGGCTGGTTGACTAGAGCCAATAAGCCAACCCAAAAGTGAGCTTCTGAGTGTATGGCAGGGCATGCCAATCAAGCAACCAAGCCCACGCATAGCATGTCCGTGCATGCCTGTTTTATCTGCTTCAGGCTCCTGAGGATGCCAGCTTTGAGGATGCTGCTGACAACGCAAACTCTGCCTGGGGCTTGCCAAGGCGTGCGGCACACTGGGTTACAAAAGCAGTCTCGAACAGAAAGTTTTCCACCGACACCAGGTCGAAGGTTTTGCGTGGCACCTGATGTGCGTAGCAGCCAAATTTTTGGCCAGAGCAGTCCGCATGAGGCTGCTCTGTGAATAGTGCTGCGCTTTGTAACCCACAGCTTCCCATACCTGAGGTCGCTGTGCGTTTCTCAGTTGGGAGATGGGGGCCAAATGCGTTCCAAGCTCTAATTAGTGCTTGCGTCCACTTCATGTAATTTTCTCCTAACTCTCGTGCACTTGCTGAAATTAGATTTTGCTCGCTGAAGTTCCCGGCATCTTGGCAGCAGCGTCATGAAAGACGGGCTGCCAGAAGACGTTCTGAAGTGCCGGGGTTTCTTGCGGGGACTGATCTGCCTGCCAGCTTCGGGCCTTGCGTGCGCCAAAGCCCGCTGTGCATTCTCGGCGCATCCCCAAAAGGGGTGCCTCTGGCCTGGCCCTTTGGTGCCAAAGCATGCCGTCGCCTATTGCATTCGCTACTTGGTAGATGTGGGACTATCCACTGTTGCTCCACGTTACATAGGGGATTTGGCACCAACGGAAGATGTCAGACATCAAGTTCCCAGCAGTCAGACTGCTCAGCCTACACTGCCTCTTAGGATTTTTTTCACGTAGTTGGCGATCAAACTTGGGGTTCCTCCTGCAGGTTCAAAAGAGTGTCAAGGCATCCCCCTCAATCTTGAAGACGCCGCAGCCATCATCTAGACTTGCAGAATGCTGAGAACACTGCGGACGACATGCACAAACAGTGTGCAGATTGAGGTCCCCAGCCATCTACTCCAATAGCCAACCTGCAGCCCGCAGTAGCCTTTTCCGCCATTCCTGCTCGATCTTTTGCTTGAATTTGCTCCGTCGAAGAAAAAGCAGCTTGGGAAGACTTGCCTTAGAACTAGGCAGGTGCTCGATGACTAATCTGGAGTTGGTTGCAACTTGAGTAGTGCTCAGGGAAGCACAGATGACAAGCTAGCAAACCAGCGGTAGCCAGACTCCTTGTAATGTAGTAGCCGGTAGGAGCTGTTATTTTTCTGTGATCTTATGTTCCTGACATGCTGTACACAGCTAGGGCTTTTCAGAGACAGCGGAGCGTTCAGGTTTTCCTGCGCAGCATTATCGACAGTATTGGCAAGCCCGTTCGCCTGGGGGGCATCTTGGAGCGTGCGGCTCTTGACACTTTGAGAAGAACGGGCCATCAGCAGAGGCCAGTGATTTTGTCGCTGGGCGCCTAGGCTCTGAGGATCCAAGGTTGAGCTTCAAACCTATCTCTATACGATTCATACATCTTTGATGGACGACCGGATGTCGTCAATGGCCTTGCATTGTCCTGGTGATGTGCTTCGTTCGTGCTCTTATGGCAGGTGGCTCTGTGCCCCATAGCTGCTGTACTCTTGAAGAGTCTTCCATTGAATCATACTTCTCATTTTCGGAATCTTAGTTTGCACAAGCGTCAAACGTCCTGGTTTTACTGCACAACTCTCTGCCCCTTGGAGGTGGTAAGCAACCTGAAAGAACCAAGGTGGCAACTCGAACGTAGAGGACCTGCGTGATTGCGTTTTGGCCTCCAGGCAGCGGCTGTTCGCGGTACCTTGAGTGTGAGGTTTCCTAGAAAGGCCGTTATACAGCGCCGTTGTACAGCGCTGCAGATATAAGAGAACTATGCTGCTTCGTGTTCTGGCTCAAGGCTGATGTCATGAGTCATGCTGCCTTTACATCTTATCACATCACGGTATCCGGTTTGGACCCGCCGCTTCAGACAACTCATGGTGCTGTTGAATATGAGAACGTTGTAGGCCTGCCTCAGCCCATAGTTGCAGAATCTGGCAAGGTAATGAAAAGGGATAAGTGCTCCAGAATGATTCCAGAAGCATGCTGCAGTATGCCTTCGTCGTGCCTTCTGCATGATGAGCCCAAGATGTGCCAGCGGCTACAACCGCAAGGCCTGCTCCCGACATCTTTGGACGTTGGGGGTTTCGATGAAGCTCAAGAAGTGCATGTGACCTTGTGACCTGCTTCGCAGGTTGTGCGGGATCTGGCATGGCTGATCCGAGCTCCACCAGTTCTTTCAGACCAGGCCAGGCGCAAAGGTTTATGGCAGATGCGGCAGTGCTTAAAAAGTTGGTCAGCCTGGGCTATGCGTCTTCTGGGTTCCTATGTGTTCAGATCTCAGCAGTGGACAAGGCGGGTATGGAGCTGCTGGGCCTTCCTGAGTCTGCTGACAAGGCCACGGCAGCAGCTTGGCCTTAAGGAGGAGCTGATGGCCCCACCTCTGCTGATGCCATTCTTCCACCTTCCACCTATTCCTCCTGTTGTGTCAGCTTCAGTCTTGCAGATTTCTTGGCAAGTTGCAAAAAGTTCTTGTTCTCGCACTTGGATGCTGAAATCGTCAAGGATTGACTTCTTGATTTCCAAGCAGCAGCTTGACACACCTGTTCAAGACTTCAAGACTTCAAAGCTGCGTTGAGACCCGCAGTACTGATTCGCGGCCTCACCCCTTAAAAAAGTCCTAATGTTGCAGCCTCAATGAAGGAAGCTCGGTTGAGCTTGACGATGCAGGGAGTGCAACGTGTGGTACTTATAATCCGCCAGAAACTTGTACCCATAAATGCCAAGCCTTACAAATTTCTGCCATGAAGCCCCAAGGATTGGCTGGCCTTGTTGGATCAGAATCCCAAAGGTCTCCTGGAGAACCTGGAGGCGCAGTCGGGTGTCAAGCGACTCGGAGCCTTGCCCATGCAAGAGTGGGCCGCGCCATGCTAAACGAATATGGAATCTAAGGACTACAGAACAGGAGTGTTTGGCCTGAATTAGTAAAGACGCCCACAAGTGATAAGAGGAAGAGGAGTACTTCTCTAGCATTACCTCCAGTGGGCGTGGCATGAGCTAGTTTTTCAATTTTGATAGGCGTAGCGTAGCGTGGCTCCTGCGAACGACCATCCAAGGTTTTTATGCTGCTGCTCTGACACAATTTTGGCTGGAGGACCGTCAGATTTGTGACCGTTGCCTGATTGTGGAGATAATGGTTTTTGTGAAGATGGTGCAAAAACCCTGCAAACAGCGGAGTTCTGCTGATGTAAACGCTAACAAGTCGGGATCCAATGCAACATCTAGCATTTAGTGCTACATGCGGCTCCGGCGCAAGAAGAAACTTGGGATCCTTCAGGAGGGACCTGGCTGGCAGACCCAAAGAACCTTGTCTGCGGTGCAGCTGAGCTGTGGCACCCAATCCAGGCCAAGCGTTTCCTTGCCATGGAGGCAGCGAAATGTCTGACAACACCAGCCCTGGCAGGCAGACTGCTGGACAGCTTAAGCTGGTATGCCTGTCTCGGACCCAGCTCTGGCTGCCAACCTTACTCCTGTGCCGTTGTGCCGCTGTGCTCGAGCATTCGGCCTGCGAGGCGGCCACAGGAGGCTCTTCACGTGGAGTCTTCGGTCAAGTTCTTTGCCGATGCATCCTATGCAGAGCCCAGGCTAAGATCCTGCGCAAGCAACTTGCATGTCAATTCGGAAAACTGCCGTGCCAAACGCCGGCTATAAATAATGCTATAGATGAACGTTTCATGACGTTACCTGACACTCGAGGTTCCTATGTGGGTCCCTTCCTCCATGAGATGCTTGGCCGCAGCACCCCGTGTGGGCTCAGTGAAGTTTTTTGGCAGGTTGGCATGAAAACAAGTGTTTTAAGGCCAACCTTTGGCAAATGTCTCTTTTCAAATTGTGAAGCAGCACCCTAGAACCCTAATGCTCTAGGAATCTGGCCTGGCGCCTAGCAGAGGCAAGGAGAAAATTGGCTCTCCCGGTTGCGATGTGCACTTTGATGGTTGCAATTGGTAGGCTGCATGCACGCCCTCTGAGTACAACATATTTTCAGTCTTGGTTTGTGCACAAGTCTTTGAAGGCCTTCATGTTTCAGACCTACGCAGGCGAGGCGGAAGATTACCTCCACAAGAAGTGTATCTGTCCCTTGGCTTGAAGCCTTCGACCTGCTTTCGACAAGCTCAGAGTGTCAGCTAGCTTTGTTCCGACCTCTCCAAGACCAAATCTGAAGGTTCCCAGACCAAATCCGACCCCTTGGGAATGCCCGACCAAATCAAGCTCAGGCTTACTGAGCCCCAGGATGCGCGTAGAAACGTTCACGCAGCATTCTTCAAGCCAAATCGGGCTGCAACCGCCCCAACCATTTTAGGACTGCTCCTAGACCAAATTTGAGCTGTGATCCGCTCCCAGAAAAAGTCTGATGCATTGTTAGTGTTGTAGATGAGTACGGTGGCTCCTTACAGCATTTGCTTGCATGACAAACCGCAGTGGCAGGTGCAGACATACTTGCAGAAAGAGTTTGGCAACGTGAGCGTTCGCTCTGTGTACTTTCTGAAAGGCCGGAACCCTGATTTGGGCTATTAATCGAACGAGCAGCCGTCAGAATACTTGTTCATTCTGTCACATGCAAATATCCCAGAACTGTTGTTTTATGCGCTCAGGAAAGGGATCAATGCTTTCAGCATACCTCAGCCCTGAACGAGAATTGACGTTTGCATCGCTTCGGATGCAAAGAAGTATGAACAGCGTGGCTGCAGAATTATAGCAGAATCATAACATATCGCGAGCTAGACCAGCCTTGAACCCCCAGTGAACTGGAGAGCCTTCAGCCAGCTAAGAGAAACGAAAACCTGTAAACATTCCAAAGCCAAACCAGCACACAGGCTACATCTTCAAGCCCTTGGAGGAGTTCTTTTCGTGGGGTCGCAGCCTTCGGGATCCCCCAAACGAGGTTAACGGTGAATGCGCCACAGGCGCACCGGTGGCTCTTGAGGGTCTTGGCAAAAAAGCAAGAAGTTAATGTGACAGTGGGACAAATTTGGTTGTAACAGCGCTTGAGACAGCGATTGAGACATTGGGAAGCGTGCTAAAAGAAATGAACAACGATCTCGATGCTTCTCAAGACTTGGGGTTTGGCACGTGATTATGCTGATACACGTACATAGCATGTCTAAGAATTTTCTATGTCGCCTGTGCACGGAAGGTTGGTACACCACAGAGGTTGCCAAAGTCATGGATGCAGTCTCACCTGGAGCCCGCCTGGCAGTGCTCCCCAAGCTCTTAGACTGTTCTGGCATTTGAGCTTTCACTGTGCAGCCTAAAAGATGGGAATATGTTTTATCATGCATTGTGGGTCAAGAATCATAGATGCCCCAGCAGGGAAGAATGGCTCCCTTGAGCCAGCAGTTCGGTAGCTCTAAGTTTGAAACCAAACCTCTCAGGGATCCCCAATATCATGCGTCTTTGATGACCTTGGCTTCTTTGTGGCAAATGTTTTGAGGTAACCCTTGGAACCATGAGGAGTAGCACTCACTAGAATCATTCACCTTTTAATCGCTCTTGCAAATTATGAAGAGCGATGATTGGGGGATTTGAGCGTTGAGGCTCTTCTGGCTGAGCCCGGCGGTGGCCTCAGGAGATCCGCCGATGATTTTGGGAGATGAGCTTCCAGGGCAGCAGGACAGATTCTGGGTTATGATGTGGGGAGGTTACGTAAGTAAGCGCGCAAGTGGGAATTTTGTGAGGGGTGTTGAGTTGTGTGGTTTGCATGCTCGGTTGTGGTCACATGCGAGTCGAGGGGAGAACAGATGGGCCTGCTTCAGTGAACGGGGATATGCAATCCAAGTAGTGAAGTGGGAACTCACTCAGCGTTCAGCAGGAGCCAGTTCCTACAGACTGGCCAGACAAGGCAGGCTCTTGGAAGTCAAGCTTGGACATGTCCGGAAAGGTACGTAAACAGCTTTCATGTCCTAAATTTGACCAGGTTCGCCTGGACGTGGAGGAGCACTTCCGCTCGGTGAACACGGCTCTTTTGCTTTGTGAACTACTTCCGCTTGAGGGGGAAGACCTGTGGGTGGAGAACTCCAGAGGATTTGTTCTGCCCCCAGTTTGGGACCCTAAGACTTTGATGACTGGAGGGCCACGAGGCATGAAGAACTCCTCAGAGCACGGGGAGCTGGGGGAGCTGGGGCAAAACGAGGATCCACCCAGCAAGTGGTCCAACCAGCGAAGGAAGTACTCAGAGCGGCTGGCGGACACTGCGCGGCAGCTGGCCCCGAGCCTCGAGAGCGCTGGGGTTCACGCAACTGTGCCACAACGTTTCAGCGAGGAGCTTACCCATGACCACCTGGTCGACTACGTGCTCTTTGCCAAGGAGCGCCGTCGGAGTGCTGACCCATCCCGATTTCAGCGCAGACTTTCGCTGCGCACCGCCCTGGAAGAGGCCGAGGTGTTAGAGAGAGGCAGAGCCTGCCGACTGGTGGCAGCTTCCTTGGCACTACTTGCTCAGCAGACTCGTAGAAGTGATGGACACTTTATTCTTGAACTGCTTGTGAAGCCCTCGGAACAGGGGCTGGCCCCATCAGAGTGCTCTGTGACCTTCTGTGCGGATGCTGCCGCAATGGAGCAGCTCATGGCGTTGGGGCTCTCGGGTTCTCTGTGCCTGCGGCTTGCCGTAAAGTTTGCTGCTCGGTTCTGCTTCTCTCCGCAACGCCTTCCTGCTGATCAAGTTCCGCTTCATTTCCAGGAAGCGGTTGCCTCTGCCGATCGTTCTCGCTTGGCTGGCCTGATAGAATACCTGGCTGCAAGCTGTTCGCTTGAGCTTGATGACGAAAGACTGCCTATTGACGAAATTGTGAGTAAGCTGACGATGCCTCCAGCTGACGGCACGATCTTAGAGCTAGTTTGCCAACATGCGCCAAGCATGTGTCAGGACTTGTCCGCAATACTCACGTCGACGGGGCAGCTGAAGCTGGCGCGGAAGATTGAGGCACGTCGACTACGCGGCTACGCCACCCCCGAAACAACCGGAGCCAAGCTTCCCGAGGCCTTGAGCAACCTTCCAAAGTTGTGCCTGCCGCCCTCAGTTCAGATAATGGAGGTCGCAGATATGGAAGGCTTAGCGCGGCTGCACCAACGTCTTCAGGATGGAGGAGTTGTTGGCCTGGATGCCGAGTGGAAACCTTGTGGCGATGAGGGATTCCCAAATAGCCGGGCCCGAAGGGGACAAGCGGCAAATCCTGTTCAGCGGCTTGCCTGCACATGTTGCACATGCAGGTAGTATGTGATGCTGTGCCCTGTGGCCACATCCAGGCTGCTGCAGCTGGCGTGGGCAGAAGAGGTTTTTGTGTGCCGCCCTCGGAACTTGAAACCCTCGAGGCGCGACTTGCCCTTTGCAGCAACTTGTGCGGCGGCAACAGGCTGGATATGCCGGCCTTGCTGGCCGTGGCAGAGAAGCAGCTCGTTGATTTTCTTCAGCGCCTGCTGAGACCCAAAGAAGGCCAGAGTCGCAAAAGCTCCAATCCCCAAAGCTTTTCTATGGATTTGACCCCAGTCTGGAGCCAAAGTCCTGTACAGGTGGAGCAGGCCATTTATTGGTTGGTTTCGGGCTGGAGGGCGACATCCGAAGGATGGCAGAAGCTTGGTGAGCTTCTGCAACTTTCTGCAGTAGATTCTTCGTTGTGGGTCTTTGTAACCCATTCCAGTAGGACCTTTTTGCTTGCTCTTGGCTCTCGCTGAGGACTCCTACCCGTGGTTAATGTCCCAATGTGGCGGCAATTTTCCTTTCATTGAGATACAAGAACTGGCGCGAGCGGTTGCGCCAAACCCTTCTCTAGACTCCCTTTGTGCCTCGCGGCTGGGCCTCTCCCTGGACAAGTCCTTCCAGTGCACCATAACTCGCAATTGTAGATTGGAGCGGGACTTCAGCAGCCACAGTGTGTCAGACTCGCGGCTGGGCATACCCAGGCAGCAATTGGGAATTACGTCCGCTGACGGATGCCCATATAAGATATGCAGCCCTGGACGCATGGGTTTTGCTAGCACTTTTGGGCCACTTCTTGGGACAAGGCTGTGATCTCGAGCCTTGGAATGTGTAAGTCTGAAGGTGCAGCAGAGCTATCGGCAGCTCATCGTGCATTTTCTTGGGCTTAGGAACAAGACAGCCTTCAAGTGCTTGCAGAGGTCCCAACCCCAGCATTTGGAGATTAAACTTGTCAAAGTGTCTAGGTCTTGCAGTTGTGAAGCAGTGAAGTTGGCCTGTTACCTATTCAAGCCGAGTTGTGTGTTCTACCGCGCAGCGCATTTGCAAATTATGTGTGGCAGCTTTTCCTGCGACCTCTAATGAGGACCCAATGCGCTACGAAAGGCTGTGAAGGACCCAGTTCGAGGCGCCAAGAAGAAACAGCTAGCACGAGACCTTGAAGCAGAAACGCATCATCAAGAGGCAGGAGGAGGACATTGACCATACTTGCCCAGTTCTCCTTCAACATCCTTCGATAGCAGACAGGACAAGATGGCCTCCAATGTTGTAGAGGACATGTCGGGGGGCTGTTCAAGAGGAACTGGGCAAGCATTGTCGGTGACTTTCCGACTAAGCGGCAAGACGAACTCTCGGACAAGGTGCAAGCCACAAAGCGAGCATGTGAGCCCAGCGGCGTGAAGTTTGCAGTACCGAAGAGGGTACAATCACTGGGTAATACTGGCAGTTTTCCAATTTTTCTTGCCGGATGAGGTTTGGGGCGTAAAATTATGGCCAGTGATCAAATCCGTGTGTATTCTCACGCTGATGATCCCGAAGCACAAGGGAGGCTTGAACAAGCAAGGCGTTGCAGGAGACATTTGCGAACCCGTGCGCGGTCACACGCAACATCTCAGAGTCAGGTATGATGCCAACCTCAAGGATGCCACACATCCAGAGTTTGAAGAAGATACTTATGCGTCTCACCTTGACTGCTCGAGCCACATGTCTGAGCAACAACCTCCCCTGTTCAAGAGCAGCTTAGCAGGCGCAATCTGAAAGACATTAATTGGCAGGATGATGCCTCTCAACACGGTTTCGGAGAAAGAAAACTCATCTCATGTTTATTATGAATATCTCAGCTTTCAGTCTCTCAGCTGGTGGCTTGCGGAGGTCAACATCTCCCTGGCCTCACCGCGACTCGGCTTGGACAGGGGCCAGCTGATTCATGAGGTGAAATGCTTTCAACTGAGGATTTGTCACTATGGCCTGCCTACTTTGTGTTCAGGATTGGGTTCAAGCGCGTGGTATTGTTACGTCAGTTACTTCGTGTCCTTTGCTTTGATGTTGGTCGATGCTTTCTGCGGAGGAGTATGCGCCACCGCCACGGCTCTGCGTGAGCTTGGGGTCTCCGATCGCTCGGTGCTGGCGTGGGGAGAAAGCCGCCTCTGGGACATGCAGCTAGCTACCTTTCTACCGTGTGATATCGGTGTCTGGTCAGTCTCAGATTCAGAGTGCAGTTGGTTGACTGCAGGCTCGTAAGTTATGAGTGTGACATTCTCGGAGCCAAGAAGTTTGCAGCCGAGGCTTGGAGGATGTCCAGGTCTGCAAGACACTTGCATGCGTCACCACGGATGGTGCAGGCATGCCATTGAAAAGGGTTCTTGTTGCCAAGCTAGCGACCCACCATGTGCTGGAGAGGTGAGTGCGCATTCCCAGATCACGGTACAGGTCAGTCGTACTTCTGCCTAGCTGTCTTCGCCGATGGTGCGGACAGCTTGAGTCGCTTGACTGCTGTCCAGGGGGCCGGGAATTTGGAGAGGCTTATTTGAAGGCGGAGCAAGAGCATGCAGATGCGTGTGCTGAGGCATGACTAGGCTTGCAAAAGCGTTAGCACGCAGTTCGGCTCGTCTCGTGACGGCTGAGGATGCAGGGCTAAAGCTACCTGTGCACATGCTCGTCTAAATTCCATTTCTCAACAATGCAACACGTTGTGGATTGGAGGTGGACACCCTAACCGCAGTCCACCGCAGCCTTCCGTAGGAGCTGCGAGAACATTTCCGGCAGCCGCGTGGCTGTGTCGGTCCGGTGGGTCCAGCATTGTTGGAGCAACTGGGCACAAATTCGCTTGTTCGCCAAGTTAGGGCAGTTAGGGTAAAGTTCTGCAACAAAAACGCACGGTGGATGTCCCACAACTCTCGGTCTCCGCACACTTCCACCCAAGACTGCCAGGAAACGACAGAGAACACTGACATACCATAACAAGCTCCAGATTATCGCGACAGAAAGTGACATACCACGACTGAGGAATCAGTTGTGCACGATTATGGCAGCTCCTGTCAAGGTCTTTTGCTTCTGAAGGCTTCCTCAATTTTCAATTCTGGGCGGCCTTGGGTGCCGCCTCCGAAATGGGTTGGAGGCCTGCTTGGATAAGACAGCTTCAGACATTCTCAGACAGTTTCTGCCATTCCAACCCTGTTTTCGATACAATGGTTTATGACGAGAACAGAATCATTCATATCTGTGCCTAACTTTCCCTATCTTGCTCCAAACGCGAATAACTGTTTTGAGAAGACCCTCAAAAATGGCCAGGGTTATCGCTCGAGTCCTCAAGTTGCGGTGGACCAGCACAATGCCATGCTGGAGTAAAGACCACAAACGGCCTGGCTGCTGGTAATCCCGTCCGCCCATCAAAAAGATGGCTGGATTGGCTGGCCTAGCAAATGCAGTCTGAGAATGTCTGAAGTAGGTGTTATCTAAGCAGGCCTCCACACCAGTTTGGGGAAGGCGGCACCAGCTAAGTCGCAGGTGCGACGCTTGAAGATTTTGCAGGGCCTAAGTCTGGCAAATGAGACAAAACCAGATTGATCAGCTTCCACTACTGTCGTGATTGCTGCACGAATTTGTCGTCATAGGTGGGATGCAACCTTGTAGTAGTAGCGTTGTCAAGATGTAGCAGGCCCAGGTCAAAGCGTGGTAAGCGCAGTTTCTTGCCAGGAAACCTTCTGCCAAAGTAGTCTTGGATGAGGAGCTACTTGCGATCAATGGGGCAGCTCGTCTAACGCATGCAAGTTTCAGCGGTCCTTTGTGAAGTTTTTGGGGAGCTTGTGGAATGCAGTGCTTGGTGGTCAGTGATCACCATCAGATGTACACGTCCTTTATCATCCTTAGCCACTCATGTGCGGACGCAGAAGCTCTCCTGTGGCGGCGGCTCTGCGCACTGGCACCTGGTGGCGACGTCGCAGCAGATCCTAGATGCTCTCCTGATTACCCCTATGCCGAGTATGAAGATGTGGTGTAGGGAGTGCTACAAGTGTTTCCCAGTTGCAGAACTGTCTTCAAAGCTGGTTGGGTGCATGCTACTCATGAACCACTGCGTTGAGGATTGGACTGGTGGCATGGCCGCTCCGATCCGGGCTAAATGCCCTGAAGCCTGACAAGCTTCAGCATGACGCAGCTGCAGCCGCGTGGAAGAGCTCTCCGTGATGCCTGTGATCGATGCTCGGAGTACCTGGAAACAAGGACAGTCTTAAGCAGATTCAATGGCTGACAGATGGCATGATGATGACGGCCAAGTGATGAATCCCTCGCTTCGCCCCGGACTGGTTGCACATGCCAGCACAGAGGAAGCGAGAAAAGACAAGCACTTTCCGGCATCGGCGGTGACGGACAGCAGCGCAATCTTTTTGCAGGGCATTCGCTCGCGAAAAACCACGTGCCACAGTGTTTGCACGCTGGAGCTTGCTCAAGCGGTAGATTGCCAGGAACTTGCCGAACGTCCTAGTGCATGCCCTGCCTTGCGCACTGCAGGCCGTGGCCGGTGAGTGAAGGGGCAAGAAGAGGAGGCGGACAGTGCTGCGTATGTACGCTGAATTGGCGTTTTTTCCCCCTTCCCCTCAAGCCATTGGTAGTTGTTGAGCTTTTGCCAGCAGGGCATGCCCCAGCTACTCATGTGTACAAGGAGGGTCTGGTGCGCATCAGCCGGCAGGTGCTCTCCTCCGCAGCAAGTCTTTGCCCTCATTGGCAAAGACACCTAAGAGCTCGCCGCCGAATTCGTTGCCGTTGATCCGGCAGTCCTCCTTTGCAGAAAGGTCAAAGGCCTTGAGATGACTGAAGACGGATGCAGAGCTTGTTTCGTTGCATGTGTACAGTGTCCATTTAGTTTCCGCAGACTGACACCTGTGGGAGCTTTGGGGCTCTTGTCGCGCTCCATCTGGGGCTCAGCCTCTGCAAGGAGAAAGCGCAGCTGAATTCAGGACGCAAAACAAGGTCCGGAAAAATAGTCACAATCATATGATACGCGAGATTGTCTGGTATCCAGGAATCAGCACGAAATCCAACATGACTCTGAAGTCCAACAAGGAAGTGACGGCCAAGTTAACCATGTGGGGAAGCATGGTTTTTCTCTCATTACCTGCGGCATGCTTGTCTGTTTCAATTCGTGTGATGACTGGCAGTCTGTGGCAAGATTGGTTGTTGAGCATTTTGGACATTGTGCGACCATGTCAGGGTCAAAGCTTGCACATGAAAAGTAATTATGATAAGAGACGGGGACCACCTTCATCTACCGTGACGACCGGTGAAGACGACAAAAAGTTGCTTCGTACACAAGACACAACAACAACGCACAGGGACGGGCAGATTATCTACTTGAAGTACTCTTAGTGACATCATCACGTTTGCTCAGCTTTATTCAGCTGCCCTTGAGCATTCATCTGAGCCAGCTCCATGAAGCAGCAGCGCAATGCTGCGGCAGACCAAGGCGCATGATTGCAGGATCCCACGCGTGACGATGCGTGCCTGGGTGTCCTGCTTTGGCGAGGCTCATGGCTGACCAGATGGCGCTGGGGATGCGACTCTGCTTTTTCATTTTGTTGTGCTGCAGCTGGCAGGTTCAAGCACTGCAGGGAGAGATTTGTGGTCTGCTTTGTCTCCGCAGTGAACATTTCAAGCGTTTATGCACATGCCACGCTCAATGGATGGATTCGAGCAGGCTGGCTTGGCGTTTGCCTGACGGCGTCCTTATTGCCTGTGAATGATGTCGCCTTCGCTATGAAAGCCCTGGTGCACCGATGCAGAAAGAGGGTGGAAAGGGAGAGCCTTTGAGTTCTTTCGAGGAGTTTCAGGGTCCCCTAAAAGCTATGGATGAAAGTCCATCCCGCAGAGGTGCGAAAGCTTCGTGACCGGAAGAGCACGCAACAACAGGCCAGTGATGCAGCCGCGAAGCTGCGCGAAGCCTGGCAGCACAGGCTTTCTTGGATGCCTCTTTGGCTACAGCCAGGAGTAGGGCCATGGCAGTGGAGCACACTCTGCCCAGAGCCAACAAGTGAAGCTTGAAGCCTTTGTGGCATGTTTAGATTCAGCGGATTTGGGCTTCGAATTTGATATGCTTAGGATGAGCACTTGATACAAGAGCCGGGCGACTATCGCATGGTGTGCCTTAGCTGCTTTAAGTGGGAAGCTCGCTGCATCCAGTAGGGTCCAACTCGGGACGGCGTCAAATCGCATGAGAGCCGTCAGGCTCAACACCCTGAATAAGCGATCGCTTTGGAAAGATGCCCTCAGCATTTGGGATGAGCAGCTTGCCTGCAAGCAACCCAACACGTTTTCGTCTTTGCCAGGCCATCCCCAACTCATTTCAGGATGCGTTGGATCGGCAGTGAGCTCGAAGAGCAGGACTTTGTCCTGGCGATGAGTGCCTGCGCCAGAGGCGAGCATTGGCAGGCGCCAGTACCCAGCACCCGTGCCACAGAACATCCTTTGAGTGTGAGATCTGCCAGGAAGCAGTTCAGCTGTTGGCGGAGCTGCTGGGCAAGCAGCCCCCACATCTCTCCCAAGGCGGCAGTTTCCAGTGTGCAATGTTCTAGGCTTGCCATGTCCCGGTTGGCTTCCCCCATCGGCATGCAGGTCGGCACCGCGAGAATCTTCAGGCGACTGTGTGGCATGCAGCATGTGCTGCATGAACACTGTGCCACTGTGGGATCCAGTCATGCAAAGCAGGGACCACGACTGAAGGGTTCTTGCAGCCACTGCCCAAGGATGCATTCCTGAGCTCAGACGCTGTGCATAATCCTTACAGTCCTAGCTTACAGTCCAAGATCTGTGGTCTCAGTTGCTTGGGGCCATGCTGCCTTAGTAGAGCAAGTCTATGCAGTCTCGAGAAGACCGTAGCAAAGAAGCCATGCCCAACATGAGATTGCCAGGCCGACTTACGTGCATACACAGCTGCGATCAACAGCTGCAAAGCTGCTGGCGCCTGGCAGATGGTAGCCCGCTTTGCAGGAGGGTACACGAGGGAGAGGGATGCCTTTTTGATCTTTTTTTTTTTGAAAGTTGTCACGTTCGTCAGGACTTACGAGTTTCAGCCAGCTGTCCCGCTTGTAGGCATCCCCACGCCGAATGACCTTAGTTCCAACTCAACCTTTCATACTCATGGACACGCGTTTTTCACAGCGCATGGATGGATCCAAGGCTGTGCAGATCTTGCAAGACATGGAGGACGTCGCAGTTGCTCCAGACGTTGCTAGGCTAATCGCATAGCGTGCGCGATCAGCATCAGCAGCAATTACCGGTTCATTGTACAAGTTCGGTTTGCTCTTCCTGATCGTCGGAGCCTGTGGTACCACTACAGTAACTCTATACCTTCTGCATGATGGTGGGCTGTTGAGGGCAGGGGTAGTTCTGAATAGCCTGGCCCAGGTGATGACCTACAACACTGTCATGTCTGCATGCGAGAAGGGCCGCGACTATGATGCGGCCCAGCGAGTCATGTCCGAAATGCAGAGATGGGCCGCTTATCTCGTTTGAAGCTGTGTCAGTCGAGATTGTTGAAGGTTTTTCCTATGGAGGCAAAGCCAGCTGTGTTGATCGGGGAGCACTAGATAGGCTCAGCATGAAATATCTTGCGGTTAAGGACATGCCTCCGGACAGAGAACCTTGGCTACATGGCGTGTGTCTTGCAGGAACGGATGTACGTGAGGCCTGCAGTGCTTCAGGACAGCCTCCCCCAAAAAAGTGCGTGCTACATGCTGTGGTAGTCCGAACACGCATCTATACTCGCTACTAGGTGTTTTTTTCCGAATGCTCCGCAGAAGGGTTCCCGTTTTAAGATTGGGGTCCAGGGTTTCGGAGTTGACCAAAAGTCCTTGCGCTTGTGTCTGCAAGCGTCCGCAAAGCGTCCGCAGGCGTTCGCGAGTGTCGCACATACTTGGCAGTCGCGAAGCTTGGGTCCTGGTCGCGAAGCGCAGAACCGTCGTCACTTTTTGACTTGCTTCAAAAGTGTCAACAGTCACAGGCAGGGATCCGGGGGGTGCTGGTCGCGAAGCGCAGAACTGTCGCCACTTTTGGCTTGTTCCAGGTCCTCGCGTCCCAAAAGTGTCAACAGTCACAGACCGGGATGGGGGGTGCTGGTCGCAAAACGCAGAACTGTTTTCACTTTTTGAGCAGAGGAGAGGAGACGAGTGGAGAGGGGAGAGAGGCGAGAGGATGGAGGGGAGAGGAGAGAGAAGAGAGGAGAGAGGAGAGAGGGGAGAGGGGGAGAAGGGAGAGGGGAGAGAGGAGAGCGCCAGGAGAGGAGAGAGGGGAGAGGGGAGAGGAGAGAGGAGACAGGAGAGAGCGGAGAGGAGAAAGCAGAGAGGAGACAGGGGAGAGGAGAGAGAGGCCGGAGGATGGAGGGGAGAGGGGAGCGAGGAGAGAGGAGAGAGAGGCCGGAGGATGGAGGGGAGAGGGGAGCGAGGAGAGAGGAGAGAGGGGGAGAAGGAAGGAGGGAGAGGGCAGAGGGGAGAGGGGAGAGGAGAGGATGCACGAGTGGATGGAGAACGGGATGGAGGAGAGGGTGGAGGCGGGGATAGGATAGAGGAGGGCATGGAGGAGAGACGGAGGAGAAGCTTTAAGAAAGAGAGGAGAGTTCAGAGAATAGGATAGAGGATAGGGTGGAGGAGTGGATGGATGAGAGGACAGAGGAGAAGATGGGAGAGGAGAGGAGAGGATGGAACTACATGTCACGTGTCTGCATGGGGGTTTGTGGATGCTATCAGGTTTTTCAGCCATGCAACAACCCCAGGCCTTGCTTGGACCTCCTCAAAGGATTTGGATGTAATTCTTTCGCATCGAAACCGTTCCGCGGACCTTGTTGATGCTTACAATGTTGTAGCAATAAAGCGGCACGCTGCAGCTGGGTCCAAAATCCGGAACCCGGAACACCCAGACCGTGAAGCTAATAAGTTTACAATTATAATTAGAGTTAGTTGTATAACTGTATAATTACTCTGCTACTATTATTTAGGTCACCTATGGCACGATCATTGCGGCCTGTGGTTGCTTGGCTTTGTCTTGCAGGCAGTCTTGCACAGCGTAGGGCGTAGGGGTCATAACGTGGAATGTTTCCAGCCTCTGAACCTAGGAGCCTCACGCATGTGAAGCCAATATCAGGGTTGAAATCTCTGTAATTATGGGTGACGATCCAGCGACAGACAACGGAGCAGCCATCTTGTGTACCAACGCAGGTAGATGCTGACGTTCCACGTTCTTCAAACGGAGGTAATCATGCCAATGCAATAGACCCGGGTTCCAATTCATGTGGCCTTCCTGGTCTTCAAGCATTGAAGGCACAGCATCAAGCTGAAAGACAGGCACTCAAAATGCAAAGAAGGGCAGAGCGTGAAAGCTTGCTTCGCACTACCAACGCTGTGACATAGGCCGGTTCATGTTTGCACAGATTCCTGGTCGTGTTTAATTCACTTTTGAAAGCGCTTGCTTCGTCACTGACGCTTGTGCTTTGCAGTAGCCTCTCATGACAGCACTGAGTGGTTAACACAATTGTATGTTCTGACTTTGTGCTGGCCTGAACTGGCTTGCACCGCGGCTGACGGGAGACCGAGTCCGCAGGAGAGAGAGAGGAGTTGGTTACTAGAATGTGCCGGAGGCAGGAGCAAGGTTTCAAGACCTGAGGCTGGGGCAAGCAGTGGAAATTGGCCGTGGACTACCTCCGAACCTTGGCCTACTTCAGTCCATGCGGCCAGCATTGGTGGCACAGCGCAGATAATGACTCTATCGAAGACAACCTGCCTCGAGTCAGCAGCAAGGGAATGCATTCGCATCCACGCTCCTTACGCAGTACCCGCAGTGGAGTTGCGACTAAGGAGAGGCACAAGGTTCTTACTTTGGCTTCGACATTTATGCCTGCACAGTTGCCGGCTCGGCAATCCAATTGGAATGATGAGCAGGTAAGCTCAAAGCGCAGCTTTTTAACATCTACCCTCAAGCCGGAGACCATGTAATCTTGATGTGTGCTCCCGCCGCAAAGGAGAGGCTCAGGCCCTAGTAGGTTTCACAGCTTGGCTGCGCACATGCAGTTTCTGTCTTCCCCGTTGACTCCGTTGGCTGGATTCAACTTGGGCTCTGCAGAGTCGGGCTCGGAAGCAGGAGCTCGCAACAGCTTTGCTAGCTGGACAGAGGGCCTTTTTACGCCTTCTCCGACACACGTGGAGCCCACAGAGCCAGCGCCCACGGAACGTAGTAAGGGTCCTGCCTTCACGAACAGAAAAGGCCGCTGCTCGTGCTGTCCTTTGCCGCATGGTGAGGTGGCAGGACATGCAACAGCCACACAGAGGTCACCAGCAGGATCGTTCCTGTCTCATCTGCCAACTCAGACATCCGAGATAGTCCATGCTCGTCGGCGGGCAGGCTCAGATGTGAATAACGCTTCGTTCTTCTGCGGACAGTGGCAGGCACTGGAAACTGCTGAACGTTGGCCCGCTCTTTCCTCGCTGGACCGAGGCCACGGTTCCTCAAAGGCAACCTGTGAATGGGCCTCCGCAGTTCATGCGAATTTGGACATGATGGACAAACAACACACGGTAGCCGCCACACGGTTGCGGAAATGTATCCAGCGCAGCCGTGAAGAGGCTCAGCATGAATGGTTGTGATTTTGAATCAGCAGCTGTTTGGAGCAAGCCCCTTCTTCCCGGGTCATCGAACCATGATGCGACCCTATGAATGCTAGGCTTACATTATGGGAGACGAAGACCCATCGATGGCTGGACGGGGAGTTAGGTTGTACTCTTCACCCAGCTGGCAGCTACTTGCTACTCAGTTTTAATCCGGATTATGCCATACAAGTGGCAGTGCATCCCTAGGTATCCGTCACAGGCAGTGACTACAGCGTAGTGTGCTGGGGCAAAATGCTCGCTGCCAAGCACGCAGTACAGCTTTGCATGACCTCATGGTTCGGCTCATGAGAAGGCGACGAACAATGTTTTCCGGAGCCCTGACTGGCCAAGAGACCCCCTCGCATGCCTAGGTATGTGGATTCATGTGCACAAGCAATCTACGGACGTAGGATTAGGTCTGACTTTTTGCTGAGTTTTTGCCGGGCCAATCTATCAGAGCAGCCAGTTCTAGAGCTTGATCCTGACTTGAGAGACTCGAGTCAGGCCAGACTCAGCGTAGTAAGGTGGTAGTTTTGCTTTTGAAAAAAGAGCATATGGGCATCAACATCCCCGGCAGGCCCTTGCTGCCATGTTCACCACTCTGCTTTTGGATCTTGCCCGAGGCTGCCATCAGTGCCTGTGCGAAGGCTACCCAGTGGGTGTTGGCCTCTGCACTTGTACTTGGCAAGACTCAGTCATGGCAGAGTTGAACAGAGCTCGTCGCCTCTGATCTTTGAAGCCTTGCCCAGGAGCTGTCCCTTTCTATATTGGGGGAGGATGCGACGCGGGTCAAGGGTCCGACCATCAGGCAGCGCCTGAATGAGAATTGCACCTGACAGGCTACGGCTATTAGCATCTAGTCTTATTTGACCATTTCATCCAATCATGTCGGCAAGCGCACAAAAAAGATTCTGCAAGACACCATCTTACGACTGAAGCTCTTGCTAATGACGACACATTCCGTTGCCTAGAAGAGTTAAAGAAGCACTGAGCGAAAGTTGAATCATCTTTCAAGCTGCAGGGAATCACTTCACGGTACGGTCCAAATCAAGTCCAAATCTGCTTCTCACGTCTGCTGTGCCTTTGCCTGACAGCATCTGAAGAAGCCTGCGGCAAGACACAAAGAAGGTATATAGTTTGTTGCAATGCGCGGGCTCCGAATGTGCGCCAAGTACGAAGAAGCGGCACATTTTCTTGTCCTGTTATGGGCCTCATCACGTGGACCCTCGTGTTGGGATCTAAGGCAAGTGTTCCTCACTTTTTTCTTGTAACTGTAGAATGGGGCCCCGCAGCTGCTGTTCTAGAAGAACTTCATGGAAGTGACTAGAAAGGTAGTACTGCAATGTCAATACTGCGGCAGCAGCAGCAGCAGCAGCAGCAGCAGCATGCTTACTAATCCCCTTCCGAAGCCAAGAGGAGCTACTACAGCCGGGGCACGTGCCTGCAATGCAGGACCTACAACGCCGCCCTGAGTGCCTGCGCGGCCGCAGGGAAGTATCTGGGCTTAGCCTGTCTTTGTTCAGCCGCAGCGGTTTTCGGCTGGCATGCATGACACACTGGCAATCTACGTGTAAAGTCACATCAAAGTATGCAAAGTCGCGTCCGTGCTTTGAGGCGTGTTGACGTGATTTAACCCAGCCCTGCAAGACCCTGCACAGAAGCGCGTACATTTCACCGATTGATTGCTTGCTTGTGAAGCCAGTAAGCAAACAGAAGAAGCATTCCTTCAAAATCCCATCCCCAAGATTCAATCCACGCCTATAAAACATGATGAGAGGCCTGCCGTCGCGGTAGTAGTTGTGTGCACGCATTCCAAGCCCCTGGGCTAGTAAGCAAGGTTGGAGATGGCTCTGATACTCATGGAGGAGATGCAGGTGCACAGCTCAAAGTTCAAAGCTGATTCTTAATCAGGGAGGGTCTTTGGCTGCTTTGTCTTGGCTTTTGGGGGCCTCATAAACTTGAGAATCAGTCAGGAGCGTATCGTTTGTCGAGTATACAGGGGGCCCTAAGTGTGAGAAGCCCCAGACCAGTCTGATTTGTCTGCTGCACTTGGTCGTGGATCAGCCCTCATACTTCTTCCCGCTTGCGCGTGGTTGCTATGATCAGTGCCTCCTAATCATCCACATCTTCCTTACCGTTGCTGCGACCTTGATTGAGATGGTGAGCAGGAACAGGTGCATTTTCATGGTTGCCATCATGATCATAACAGTTTTGGATACAGCAGAACTTGCCAGGTTGCAGGATGGCAGATATCAAGCAATAATATGGAGGGTATACAGGGGGTTCTGCAGGATAATGGAAAATAGAATGGAAACTAGCATTTAGGGTTTATGGGTTTTAGGGAAACATCAAAAGGCTGCCAGGAAGCTGCTTGGAGCGGATGTGTGAACGGGGCTCTGTGAAGTGACTGTAGATGGCCGAACACAAGCTCTAAGATGATATTCCAATAGCAAGAACGCATCCCCCACCTTGCTACATCAAATTTGCCCTGATCAACTGAAGGTCAATGAGCTGATCCCGAACTTGATGACCTACAGAGCCTTGGAGCATTAAGGTCATGTCAGAGGCCGGGATGTGTGGGGGCCTGTGGACTGTGGACCGCACACCGTAGCGTGACCGAGCAGTTGGCTCGAGACTATTTGCGGTCGATTGTAGTTGGAGTCCATGCAGTCAACCCTGTGAAGCCTTTTTTTGTGCCAGTCCTCTGCCATCCGCCCTCCTGACATCTGATTGGATTTGAGACTCCCCTTGCAGAAGTGGCCTGAAGCAGCAGTGAAGCGACACGCCTCAGGATATGTCGCCCAGTCCTGCGAGGACTCTGGCCAGTGGGAGCTTGCCCTGGACTGCAACCGCCCTGCCACTTCTCGAGGGGGTGCTTGGGGAAACAATCCAGGTTTTCAAGTCGATAGGTCCTTTGGAAATATTTGGAGGAGCATGCTCAGAGTTGTTGGACCGCAGCAGTTGTTCTTGGCCGAACTCACCCACCCGTAGGATCTCATGGCAGAGATGAAGAGCATGGATTTTGAGCCAAAGCAGCTCATTTTTGGTTCCTTGACCTGATGACGGCTTAAAGCGTCCATGTGAGAACGAAGTCCTGAGGTTCTTCTGCTGTCCACAGGTCTGCTCGAAATGAGTGCATAGGGTTGCGTCGTCACTATTCCTCGCCACAATTACTAGTGAGCCGCGCTGTGTGCATCTTGTGTGCCACTGATGCCACGTACGCATGCGCATTGCGGTGGCGATTATCATCCTCAACTAGGACACATGGATGACAAGCCAGGGCATGGAAGCAGTCGCAGCATGAGGCTCTGTCGCTGCAGCTTGCAGAAGCGCCGGTCTGGAAGAACTGGCGAAGGCTTACGACTGGAACGGTGCTGCTAGGCTTCATAAACAATCGGTGGAGGAACCATGTGGTTTCATTCATGATTGACCTGAGGACGGTTCCAGCTGAAGGCATGCCAAAAGAGACTATGTGCTCGCCCGTCGAGGAAAAAGGAGTGCCTGCCGCCGCAGAGGTAGCTCCACGTTTTGCAATGTGTTCAGGCCAAGATGGGCACGTTGTTGGCTCGAGGCTGCATGCTGTAGGCAATCCACTCGGCTCATGTCCAGCTCTGCCGATGTGTCGGCCTGACTCTCAGCTGAGAGCTTTTTTCCCCGCAATTTTGGCATTTTGACAAGATGGCGGTATAGAATGCGGCGATGCTCGCTGTCTGATCCAAATTGGTTTGACCCTAGTAGTGTATTTGACGGCTCGCGGACTGGTCTGGGCAAGATTGGGCTGGGCTCCAAGCTCATCCCGCTTGCGCTCAAGACTGTCAGGTCTGCCTCCCGGAATGGCCCTGTGAGCCTAGTGACTATCTGTGGCCGCCAGTCCACGTTGCTTTGTGCCGGCCTTGGTAGCTGGTTGATCTTTGATCAGTAAATGAGGCTTCGAGCTGAGGAGCTGCATGTTGGTGTCTCGCTAGAGTCGCGGTGGTGGCAAATTGCCAAGATTTTGGCACTCAACATGCCTACCTCTTTTTGACGAGACTTGAGTAAAGCCTTGACCGAGCCGATGTGTTTGCAGCGATGCTGTTGTTTATGTTCCGTGGCCGAGGTTTTGATGTGGATGAAAATGCACACCACCTGCTTCACGGTCTTTTCGGGTTTGCGATTAGCCAACGCCTCAGCTCTGCCACCACCGTACTTCGAGACTTCAAGCTAGTAACCGATGCTTCAACTGCGGTAGAATGTGAGAACATGGCTGTGAAGGAAGGGGGGTCATTTGTGAAGAACGGAGGGTTTGGAACGCTGAGCAAGCCTGACCGTTGGAGGCAGGACGGAAGCTGAGAAGCAGGCAGAGTGGCGGAGACTGATGGAACCACATGCGCTTGCGCCATACCCCTTAACACTGTACTGACCAACAGCAACCAGACCATGTAATGAACAATGATAGGAATGCTCTAGGGTGCGCTGCCTTTGTCGTTGCGCCCATCTTACTGTACCTCTCCGCCAGGCTGCGCAATCTGAGACAGCTGTATGCTCGGAGGGCGTTTGTTCTGCGGCAAGCCCAGTGTGAGCCTGTCTGTCCCTGTGCTGGGCCAAGATTTGGTTCGGCGATCCTCGTCGTGGCAAATGGAGTGAAGGCGTTCAGAAATAGTCTTGGTGTTGGCGACGTACGGGGTGGTAAAGAAGCCGGCGGAAGAATGACAAGTCCAAAGAGGTAGGATTTTTCAGAGGTGCAACTTGCCTAAAAACAAGCGGTGTCATGACTGTCGTTTTTGTTCTCTCTGCGGCTTACTACTGCTTCGCGACAGATGCAGCAGCCGCCCCATCACCAGCTGCCGGGTCCCTGGGTCACGATCACAAATAAATCAAGGGTTTCAGCCCATTCAGGCATTTGCCAAGTGGTTCAGAAGTGCACTGTTTTGTACGTCCTAGTTTAAAGTTGTGCCCCCGGCTGGTGAGCGCAGCTGTCACACGAGTTGTAAGAGTGCACTGCGAATTGCCTAGGGAAGCGTTGCGGCTCAGTTTGATAGGAGGCTAGGTGCACATGTACTGGGCTTGCCCAAGACTCCCCCATTCTTTAAGTCGCAATTTCCTTCATGACGTCCTGAGGAAGTGGTCGACGAGCGCGAGGTGCTAGACGAGGCCTGGCAGCCTGGCATTCTTGCGTAACTCATAAATTTCCAAAATCAAGGGTATGCGCGTCCCACTCCTTAGGGACGAGGATCACGTACGTAAAGGCGTCGCTTGTACTTGGAGCTCACATGTACCAGGCAAAGAGGTTGCTCCAAGGATCTGTGCAAGAACAATTCTCTGAACAGCATCTGGGCTCTGAGCCGCCCACGCACCTTGTAGTCACAAGGGTTCTTGCTGTGTCCGTTTTCTTTGAGACGTACCCGCGTAGTTTGGATCTCTCCTTGCACCCGAGAAAAGCTCCCAAAGCTAATTCAACACAAACCCAAGCGTTGTGCATCGAGCATCGCCTATGTCGGATGTCCTGCAACCTGGCGAGCTCAAAAAGGCGGGAGAGATCCCAGCTGCTCCAGGATACGCGGACTTTGGCCAAGCACTGAAGCTGCTCCGCGTTGTTCGGGGAGATGAGGTGCCTGCTTCCAAACCACCCCAGAACACGGTAAGGACATGCTACTGCATGTTACGTCATTGTATGAGCTTTCATGCACACTCTGAGTGTACAGAGAGGTCAGTGCGTACTCCGAACCTTCGGTCCGGCGTTTCCTGCGTGAGACGAAAGAAGAGCTCGATGCAGCAGACCACTACAACTTGAAGGCGCGCGAGTTTGACTTCGCAGCCCAAGCAGCGGAGGATGATGAAGCAGGTTTCTACTTCATATCCTATGCATGGGAGCCGCCCTCAAGGGTTGATGCACGGAGAGGCAGGACCTGTAAAATGACGGTCATCGACTTTTGGGGTTGTTAAGTCCATGATGGCTGCTTGTTCATTGTTGGCCTTTGGCAGTCTTGCTTGGACTGAGTTAACATAAGTGCGTGTAAAAGCATGCGCAGGCGTTGCTCCAGGAGAGGATCCTTACTTCCCTTCGTCAGAGCAACAGCAGGGGCGTCCAGAAGTGTTCACTGATGCTCGGGAATGGTACGCGCAAGCTCAGGCGAAATCACTGCATCCCGGATCTGTCAATCAGTTTTTTTTTTTTTTTTTTTGTGTGTGTTTTCTCGCCTGTTTGTCTTTGTGTTGTATCGTACTGCCCCTACCCTACGGCAGCCAGGTACTTGGAGTGCCGGGGTCAGCGAGAAGTTCATCCGCGGGATTGTCTTTTTTGGATTGAGCGAGCATGCCTGCCTCAAAGCGGGCCCATCTTTGAGATGGCCAGGAGTCAGTCGTTCTTCCTCTTGGAGTTCATACTTCTCTCAAAAGCCATGATCGCGGTCGCTTCGCCCCACTTCTTCTCAAGGGGCTGGTGCTTGTTCGAGTTCGCAACAAAGCTGGCGACGGCGCCAGACTCGAATCCTGCTGCCCTTGGCATAGCATGGAAAGCCTTCGTATCTTTTGGCAGCAGGACTGAACTTTCGGGTGCCGTCTCCTTCAGGCTCTGATTGCACTGATAAGATTTTATGTTTGTTTGCTTGGCAGTTGTCCCTGCATTCTGCAGACAATGTGCCCTGTCTTTGCCTGAGCTTTGTGCCGCAGGAAGGATGGGTTTCCTGCCTCCCTGTATGCAGACGTCATCCGGCACATTTCGATTGAGATGGCGGAATTCTCGGTTGCCAATGACAGGGACTTTCTCCTATGCCATGTAGACAGACTCTTTGTGTCACGCTCAGCTTTCGATCGGTTTGCCAAGTTTGTGGCTTTGGCGCGGTTGGGAAGATCGTGCTACACTCGAGAGGATCGCAAGCCTTTCATCATTGTGGCACATGATGAGGGCTTCGGTCAGCTGGGGCAATTGCTTGACGTGGACTCGACGTTCGATGCCCGCAAGAGCCCGGACGCGCTGCAAACTTTTGACGATGCCTTGCGGCCGATGTTGGCTGAGGAAAGGGCTCAAGCTGTCCGCCTGCAGGTAGTTGAGGACTTGCAAGCATTGGCTGCTCAGTCGCGCTCAAAGTTGCGATCCCGCTGACTTCCTGATCATGGGGGGTCTATCGAACCTAACGATCGCGAGGTCTGATCCACTTACAGCTTGCAAACAAGAGGTATCAGGTCCCATTGACAGTCGCCTTGAAGAGTCGAGCGGGCCGGTGTTGGCCTGCAAGATAAAATACTTTTGGCTTTTCGTTCCAACTCTTCAGCATCAACAAATATCAGCAACTTATTGGCCTTGTTCGGGATCATGCCTGTCCGGAAAGCACAAACAAGATGTGTTTTTTTCTGTCCAGGCTTGTGCGAAAGGAGGAGGCTGGCGTCGTGTCCTTGCCTCACTGCTGCTCACTACATTTTGTGCTCGCAGTTCCGACCACGTGTACTGTAGCCTGCACACACCTAAAAACTGAGAGTTGCGTGAGATCGGACGTTGCGTAGGATTCCGATCCGAATTGGAAACTCAGAGCCACCTGACGGTAGGAGCCGTGGAGCCTAAAGCTCGCTGGCTTCAGGCCCTTAGGTGTGCGATCCAGGACTTCAAGTGGGGCCCGCACCTTAATCCGCATGCCAATGTAGGCAGCTGTGATTTCGGGATGCGAGTCGAAATCGGGCTCCATTTGTAACAGAACTGCCCGGTTTGCGGCGAACCCATCTTTTGGCAAAGTTGTTTTGTTGGCCATATCAGGGCTGTGGATCTATCCCATGAAAGAGTCTTCACCCCTAGATCTTACAGACTGGAAGGCTTCCTAGCTATAGGGGATGGACGCCAGCCCAGGAGACTACACCACACAGCCCAACACCAGGCCAGCCATAGCAGTAGCAACAGCGCTGTGTAGCAAAGACTTACAGAGTCGCAATCAAAGATGTTTATGTGACGAGGACCTCTGCGTCTATGTTGTATTTCGGTTTGGGGTTGGCAACAATCACGTTCTCATCTATATACGTTATTCCCTTATTCAATCTCCGCAAGTTAGGAGGGGCTTTGTTTGCGCCAGGTACAGATACAGGCTTTGCGTGATAAGTGGAGATCCTCAGCTGGGCGTGGACCCCTGTGCAGAAGGCTGGGCAATGTGAAAGTCCCAGCCCTGGACATTCCGCAGCCTTGCTGATACCAGAACTGAGATGGAGTTGAATCGCAAGCCCAGGAGGTCCTTATTAGGATAGCTGAGTCCCGAGTCCAAACCACACTCGAACATCTTCTTTTCTGACTTCACATCCAAGCTTGTCGTGCCAGGCCCGCCAACTTGTGGTCCCGGACTGCATGTGGCTGCGCAGGACAGGCCTCATATGACGTGTCCTTCGTTCAAGCCCTTAGCTGAAGCAGATCTTAGATATTTTTGTCTATCACAAGCCTCCATGCTTGGCCTGTGGAGGTAGAACTGGAGGTAGTTACGCCTTCCGCCGGCTCTGCTAACCACCAGGCCTGTCGATGCCTCGCAATCTATGCAGCGATAAGGCTTGCAGGAAAATGCATGTAGTGGCACATAGTGGCACATGTTGCTGCAGCGTGAATATCCTTGCCAGCAGGCCTAGAGGTGTGAGTATACTGAAACCTGCCTGCGCTTCTCAGCCAGTTCACTTCAGCGCTGTTTTGGCTGAGCAGCTGAGTGAGTGCCAGGTGTTTAGAGTAAGAGGAGCATAAATCACAGCAATGCCAACTGCAGTCGTCATAGGAATACATAGTATCATAATGGCAAGCGTAGTCACTGCTGAATATCTCATCCCAGTGAACAGAAACTGGTGGATTGGCAGGTGTTCTTCAATCGCGGTGTCGCCGGGTCACAGCGCTTTGCTCGGCTGTCCGTGGGCACCCGCGAGCTGCGGCCTCAAGCCTGGGCAAGTGTGGCATGTGACAGCAGGAAGAGGTATAGCATTAGGTGTCAGAACATAGGAATCAACCAGCGAATTTCGGAGGTTTCAAGTAGAGAACATTTCCAGGTTTTGCGTCAGGTACCTCCGATACTGCCTGGCACCGCATCATCGAATGGCATCTTCTGTTCAACTCGCACTAATCACCCAGCCCAAGAAAGGCATGGGCCTCGCAGCGTGGAACAATGGCAATGGCTCTCCAACGGGTTGGAGGAGGTTTGCTTTCCGTGCTTGGTGCATGGCTGATGCCAAGAAACCGTGCCCAAGATGCTTTCCAATTGAAGTGGCATTGGGTACTGGAGTTGAGAAAAGTCGCACCGCGTTGCGAGACAGGGGGGATTTGATTAGCCATTGAGATTCTGACAAGGCCCGGACAGCATCGGGACCAAAGTCATTTCGCGTAACACATGGGAGTTGGGTTAGCCGAAGAAATCGCGAATGCACTTGCAAAACTTAGGTTCGCCTCATGGCGCGTGACAGACCCGAGTTGCGTAAGCATTTGTCAAAGCCCCGCGCGACTCGCACAGGCCCTGTAAGAACTCGTGCAGGAATCGCGCCTAGGGAGGCTGGGTCCTCAAAGTGTCCCATCGCTCGCTCAAACCTTGATAGGGCCAAAGAAGCAAGCGGAGCATTGACCTGGCACTGGCATAATCTGCAAGTGCTTTGTGAAAACTGTGTGCGCATTGCGTGTTACGCATGTCTTACACGATATATATATATACATATATATATACATGTACATACAAATGTTCCGCCGACAGCCCACGCACGCTCGAATTACATTTGCTGTTGGCCTCGTTTGAGAAAGGACTGCAGAGTTCGTGATGGCTGTGATGTGACTTATGTGGTGACTTTCTAGGATTGGCGCGTGTGCTTTGGAAGTTGTGACTTCTTACGGTTGATCTGTCATCACGAGCACGCCAAGTAGCCGCCAGGTAACTGTGACAAGACTGCAAGCAGGAAGACATGCATGCAATGGAGAGCACTCGTTGCTCGGCTGGAAGGCGTTGTTAAGCTTCATCGGCGAAGCCCAGAAGGGCTTCCACCTGTGCTGTGCCTTCTATGAAGCGCGCTGGCCTGAATGATGTGACCAGTGCTGCAGTACTGAAAGCGCCGCAGCACCCACCAGTATGGCTGCAGTCAATGAGGCACTATCCACCTGTTATGAGGGCGCTGGCCGCTGCTCAGAGGCATCTTAGGTTTGCAAGCAGCTGTCCAAAGTGGGGTCTAGGAATTGACGGGATTGCGTTGGCAAGCTCTCTGCTCTACCGAAGAGACGGTGCATCTGCGTGAAAAGCAGCATCAACATCACCGCAAGCTACTAAAAAATGCCAGGCGCGGTGCTTCTGTGCAGATCGCAGGGGGCCCAGTGTGGCAAGACCCTGCAAGGTAAGAGTTAGACAGATGACGGCCGAAGGTTGTGGACTGGAAGATTGCCGGCTGGTCAGAGGAGAAGAAGGCAACTTGCATTTGGCAGGAAGGAAGGTGGGAAGGAAGGAAGGAAGGAGGGAAGAGAGGAAAGAAGCAGGATGGAAGGAAAGAAGCCAGAGCGTCAATAGGTATTAATTACTGTTACTTGCACTAATATTCCATTAAGAGTATTATTTCATTTTGGGATGTGGGCTTAAAAAAACATACGCATCAAAACACATTCTTAGGCATCAACACAAACATATGGTTTATTTTCTTGGGGGTACACCAACTGGGAATGTTTTTTTTGATGCTTGGGCTTCCACCCTACACCCTGACCTGGCAAAAAGACAGCAGACAGGAAAGAAGGAAGCAAGGCAGGAAGGATTGCTTATCATGTTTCATCAGCTTTCATCAGTTTTCATAGATCTCATCATTTATCATCATATTCATGATCGTTTTCATGACATTCCAGGACTCTCTTTCAATTGTCCGAAGTTTTCATCATGTTGCATGGTTGTTCTTCAGGTTCATTTGTTTTTCGTTACTTTGTCATGGTGTTTGATGGTTTTGCATGATTTGTCATCATTTTTAATGATTTTCATAATTTTGTTATCACTTTCCATGTTATAATTGTGATGATTTTTCACTATTTTCACGTTTTGACATTTTTTTCATGGTGTCAATGCTTTTTTGTCATTTTCCGTCATGTTTCATCGTTTCTCAACACATTGCCAAATTAGCGGCGAGAGAAAGCACATACCGTATCCTAATCTTTGTCCAGGTTTTGC